ATGTACAGGGACACCATGGACACCACATGCAAAAACGCTGATATCAATTATTATGAATTTGATAATTCATGTAATTACTTTCAGGACTTTTTAGCTCAGTCTAGTCTTAAAATTGAAATTTCATTTAATTAATATACAATGTGTTTATTATGGCATAATTATCTTAAACATGTTAAAAAAGTAAAAACAAAAGAAGAAAGTGCCCATTGGACACAGATGCCCCTGCTTGTGAATATGCAATAGTCAATAGTCAAATGGCAATTCAGCAATTTTTTTCCAAAATTATGAAGGGACATACATTGAAGCTCACAATTCCAAAACCATGAAAGTGACGCCCCCAAATTAGAAATTGATCTGTGTTTGGTGGTATCATAATGAGCATTGTGTTTAAGTTTCATAACATTTGGTAGAGGCAAACTAAAGTTAGAGAAACGGAAACCCAATTTTGGGAGGTTGAAGTACCTCAATGACCATTTCACCTAGCAGCAGGGGCATAAAAAACCCAGAAATTAAGAAAACATTTGGACATTACAACATTAAATCACCAACAAGGGTTCAAATTTGCTCCAAATAATGAAAGGTCCAAGACCATTTGAAATTTTAAGTGAAATGTCCTCCATAAAAAAATCAATGGTCATGTATAAAGCATCAGTGTAAAGAATGGTAGGTCCTTGACTTTTCCAATTTAAAAATGAAAAGTCCTCTCCTAAAAAAGACAGGTCCCGAACCTCGGACCCACACTAATTTGAACCCTTGACCAACATGACCAACACTAATAAAGAGTGTAGGATACAGACTTTCAAATATTTCAACATTTCATGATACACTAGAAGTAAATTTTTCTCTCTTGCATTGTCTAGCATATCTTGTTTTATTATGTAACATCTACATTCACTACCATAAAGTATTAAATTGCTTGATCAAGGTACAAAAGTAGTCTTACAAATACAGCGGGGTAAAAATAATCTGTTTTTATATTTAAGTCTTAGAGGTTTATTTTAATTCAAAATAAAAGACAATAGTTCAGGTAAAAGTCAGAAATCAATATCATTACAATACAGGATCATAATTTGACTAAAGAAAATGTTACACAAAAATGTACATGTACCACTATATATAAATAAGAAAATGTGGTATGAGTGCCAATGAGGCAACTCTCCATCCAAGTCACAATGTATAAAAAGTAAACAATTATAGGTCAAAGTACTGCCTTCAACAAAGAGCCTTGGCTCACACCGAACAGAAAGCTATAAAGGGCCCCAAAATGACTAGTGTAAAACAATTCAAACAGGAAAACCAACAGTCTAATCTATATAAAAAACAAGAAACTAGAAACACTTATGAACCACATCAACAAACGACAACCACTGAACAACAGGCTCCTGACTTAGGACAGGTGCATACAAATGCAGTGGGATTAAACGTTTTAACAGGCGCCAACCTTCACCCTAACCTGAAACAGTAGTGTAACATCACAACATAAAATAGGTTTATAGAAATTGAAGTCTCAACAGTTAAAGGACAGTATTGTAGGGTCTTTTTAAAAAATATTACAATAATGGAATAAGATAAGATAAGATATTTTTTATTTAAATTAAAGGGCCCATAACAAATGCATGAAGAGCAAAGTAATTTATTACAGTGATTTTTTGCAATGCCATGGTAATTTTCTGGTTTGCTTGGGTTACTGCATTTTAAAATTGGTGACAAATATGCGGATGACCACTGTGTAGGTATTGAAGAATCTATGAGAGTACATGTATACAAGTATTGTTAGCATTAATAACCTAATTAAATTATTTAATATGTTGATAAAGCATGATAATTGTGAATCAGCAAGGTTTCTTTAGAGAAGTACATGTACTTAAGTAAAAAAGATTTAATAATTGTTGAAAAGATTAGTTTTAACTGAGTTTAAAGGAAATGTCTCGACTTTCATAATTTCATAACCAGGTACTTGAGAATTAACTTAAATTGTAAGTGGTAATTTTGTAGTTATAAGAGAATATTTCTCTTGCAGACTTAAGTGAGAATGGATAGAAAATGACACCTTTGAAAGGGGATGGTGGTACATTGTACAAGTATATCAGTTTTAATTATATAAGTACATTTTTACATGTATTTAATCAGATGGGAAATGGGAGAGACAGGACAATATATGAATAACATTTTAGTTTATAACTCCTTGTAATTTTAAAGTTGTTTCAATGTCAGAATTCTTTTTTTTTAATTTTAACAATGAAAATAGTATATCCCCCTATTAAATATACAATAAATTGTTTAAATTTCCGCCAAACCAATGCTTAAGATTAAAGTGAATATAAGAACTTTATAATTGACAGATGAAAACAGAAACTATAGAAGAACTTAAATTGACATTAATGGCAATTGTTAACGTTGTGTGTGAACATTAAGATGCATAAATTAATTATAATCCTGGTGAGCAATTTAATATTGACATTAGTGATTCTTGCTATATCTTTAAAAAAACAATCAAGACAATAGTGCAACATATCTTTTTTGAAAATAAAATATGAACATTTTAACAATTTTTTTATAACCTGATTATTCGATATTGTTTATTTATAAATAACATGTGTCGCTCTCGAAACGCCATGTCATCTTATTATCTTTATATAACACTTCCATGATTATACAATACACAATCACAAAAAAACAACAATACTGGTACAATTCTCTGATAGGTCAGGAATAACCATGAATTGGTGGATTATACCTGATTTGACATATACAATGTCATGAGATACACCAATTGAGGTATAATGAAGGTTTTATCCAAAAAACATTTTTAAGAGATATATTGGAGCATCTTTTTGCATATTTACCATAACAAGCTTTGATGACCACTTAGTCATGTTAGTGATGACATGTAATTGATTTTAACACTTTGTGCTGCAAATTGTAAGAGAAATCTAAAAACTAAAACGACCCTCTTTTTCTGACTTTTAAATTTAAAGTTTTCATCTAATAAATCTCATTTTTGTTCTGTAGTCTCGATCTTCCTATCCATTTTGACTAAGGGGACGACCATTTGATATTCTGGGGGGGGCCAGGAGGATTTGTTTTTGATCGGTTATTTATTTTTGTAAACTAAGAGGACAGATTATCTATTTTCTGCATTGTTGAAGCAAGATTTTTCATTTTCATTAAAGCAAGGGACTGATTATTTATTTTCACAACTATATTTATAATATTTGAAAACATACAATTTTTAAATTCATTTTTTATTTTAAATAATACATGAATAGTCCAATCATTATGTACCATTTAATCAGAATTAATCATCATCATCTGTAGAAATGAATCTTTTGAATTCCCAACTGCATATACATGTATTGCATACATACAAGATATTAAAGTTTGGCTGTAATTAGTGTCTTTTAAAAGTATTGCAAATCATTTATGCCGAGCGGAGCGAGGCTAAAAAAAATTTGAAGGGTTTTGGAGCCGCTGAAGGCCCCAAGTTGCTATAGAACTAATGATGCAAAATGTGTTTCCCATACCCTTTCTTAATCTGAAAATGAAAGTTCTGTTTTAATCATTTTTTGACAATATTTTGGTCTCAAAGCAACATGTATAAATTCAGTGTAAGACTTAAGTTTTAAGGAACAACATCAAAAGACAAAGATAAAGCAAAAATTTAATTCACATAGTTAAGTTTGTGGCTGCTGTTTTTTTTTTAAACTCTTGATCAAGTTAATAACAAAATTACTAAATTACAAAAGGAATGCAACACTAACAGAATACAGAAGGGCAATCAATGAACAAAAGACAAATAAATAAGAAACATTGATCCCGTAAAAACGTCTGAGGGAGAACAGAACTTGCTTCTTGCAAGACACTTGCCGTGAAAACAATTTGATATGAAGACAAGCTTTTGGTTTTGAAATTTCCTACATGAGGCATTTGCCTGAATGTAGTTACTGCCATATGTAATAAAAGTGAGTTAAGTGTTCCTGAGACAATATACCTCAAGTTAAATGAAACCCATTTTTCAGACATTTCAAGAATTTTAAATAATATTTATACTTTTATTATTCAAAGATTTGGGAAGTGATTCCCGATTTTTTTTGAAAAAAAATTTGAATTTTATGAAGAATCTGGTGCAATCTCATGCTCTCAAATAGACCTGCCGAGTTATTTATTTTTAATACATTGCAAGTCAGGTTATTTATTTTCAAACTACCACAGAACAAACCATTTATTTTTGTGATTATCAAGGCTGAGTTATTTATTTTCAAAATCCTCCTGGCCCCCCCCAGAATATCAAATGGTCGTCCCCTAACAAATCATACTGTTAGAACTGATGCAGACTTAAAGGAAACCAGTCATGAATATCCACCTGCAATTAGTGGATAATACCTCTAGCTATTGCTTCCAATTTCCTGTTCTGCCTTATGTAGAAATGTGGATTATAGGTCTAGGCAGCACAGGAAGTTGGAAGCAATTACATGTCATTAATGAGAACTCATCAAAGCTGAAGATGGTATACAAGGTATTTATAAGTAAAAAGATGGTCGAATTTCCATTTTTTTAAAATTGTGATGTAAACTGCATTATACCTCAATTGGTGTATCTCACTATACGTAAATTGGTGGATTATACCTGAATTGAGGTATAATCCACCTATTGATGGTTATTCCTGACCTGTCTGATACTGGATTCTGGTTTTTTTCTGCATTCAAGCCTCTATAAATTTATATCAAATTAAGAGGATAAGACTGTTCCAATATAAATGTTATGACCCATACGTTGTAGATACAACCTCCCCCTTTTTATTTCATTAAAAAATAAACCAAGTGTCATCGACAACGATTCTTAGAAGTGCATTTTCATTTCGCAGGAAAATTATCCTCCTCATTGTTAAAGCTAAAAATAAAGTCGTGACATCAAAAGACAAATATAAAGGGTATGTGATTCATTGTTTACGTCGCCATTTTTTTTAAATTTTACCTGAACAGGTATCGAATATTTTTTACCTTTGATAATCCCTGTGTCCTTTGTAAGACTTCATAAACGGTATCTGTAGCTGTGGGATCATCACTCATATAACAATGAAATAAACTAACACACAAACAAACAAACAAGTTCACTTTCCAGTCCATTGTAGGACTTTTGAATTATCCCACCTGTCACATGCATGGGAAATAACTCTGTAAATATATAAACAAGTTTGGAAAACCACTGTCATCTGTGCACTTGACTAAATAGATCATTGGTTTAATCTGTTAATATTATGTATGTCTCTGGTTTGATTAATTAAATATATCACTTTAGTTTTCTTGATTTCTTCTGTGTTTTATGGATTAGATTAAATTAGATTCTTTATTGAGATTGAATTGAATTTCCATAGCAAAATTAGCAAATATCAGAAACTGAAAAAAAAACTATGCCGATCATTTATCAAACGTATGATTGTTTACTCTAATATTAGATAACAGTTATGTTTTCGTTGTTTTGCATCATTCTGTTAAATGGAGATCCGGTTTTCACACTTAGTGGGGGGGGGGATTAATCTTTTAGATGTATATATATACTTTATTCTGATAAACCGCTGTAGATACAAAGGTACAGAACATATATAGACATTATACAATATTACAAAGGTACATATGTTGAGGAAATAAACAATACAGTAGAAATACATAAATATGTTTACATGTTAAAAAAGTGAAGTGTATATAAAATGGAATTAAGACCTTAAAATAAGACCGAGGAGGGAGAAGGGAGTAGGTTAATTGAGAGAATCCAGACATATTTTTTTCGATATCACAAACTAGTCAAAACATTTACTAAATTTTATCATCGGTATAAGGACATCATTCGTAAATATAGCTCAACATGCAGACTTCTTATACGTTCAGGTATTTCACATCCAATTTTTTATGGAAATATTCTTTATAAAGCACAAAAATGTCAGTATTCACCTCTGAAGCTAACAAAACCTTTAAATAGACTTATTAAGAAGGGATATAGTTACGATACTGTTGTCCGGTCATTAAAGATTGCATATTTTGGCGTTAATATTGATTCACTTATAGGGTCTTTGCATCGGCACTAAACACATTTATTTAAAAACCAGTTGTTGGCCAGACACGGGTTATGTTCTTCTCATATATGTTTGTTTAGGGGCCAGCTGAAGGACGCCTCCGGGTGCGGGAATTTCTCGCTGCATTGAAGACCTGTTGGTGACCTTCTGCTGTTGTCTGTTCTATGGTCGGGTTGTTGTCTCTTTGACACATTCCCCATTTCCATTCTCAATTTTATGATGGTATGATACTAAACCCCTAACGGGAAGGATTGTGCCTGATATTCATATGATGAAGACATAATCTTTCAATCAGTTTAATTGAAGTCTGGAGCTGGCATGTCAGTTAACTGCTAGTAGTCTGTTGTTATTTATGTATTATTGTCATTTTGTTTATTTTCTTTGGTTACATCTTCTGACATCAGACTCGGACTTCTCTTGAACTGAATTTTAATGTGCGTATTGTTATGCGTTTACTTATCTACATTGGCTAGAGGTATAGGGGGAGGGTTGAGATCTCATAAACATGTTTAACCCCGCCGCATTTTTGCGCCTGTCCCAAGTCAGGAGCCTCTAGCCTTTGTTAGTCTTGTATTATTTTTAATTTTAGTTTCTTGTGTACAATTTGGAGTTTAGTATGGCGTTCAATTTCACTGAACTAGTATATATATTTGTTTAGGGGCCAGCTGAAGGACACCACCGGGTGCGGGAATTTCTCGCTGCATTGAAGACCTGTTAGTGACCTTCTGCTGTTGTCTGTTCTATGGTCGGGTTGTTGTCTCTTTGACACATTCCCCATTTCCATTCTCAATTTTATATAGGTGGAGCAGTTATGGTAACTAAATTGGGTTCTAGTTTTGCCTGTTAGTTTGTTTGTTACCCGAAGGACAATATATTTTCAGCAGTTTCAAAGTTTTATATATTCTTAGATATGAATAAAAGGAGATGTTGGTATACTTCAACGAGATAGCAACCCCACATTTGTCATGATAATGGTCAACAAACAGTCTTCAACAGTAGATAGGTGTCCATCATACAAAACGTCACACTTTAAACTTAGCCTCCTCATGGGGTATTTGATTATGTGATAACTTGGCCATTATTAGTAATTATTTGATTACCAGACCAAATATTCCATGATTATTTGATTATCTAGGACTGTTTTTTGGATTATTTGATTATCTTGTTTAAAAAAATAACTAATGATTATGTGGTTATATTGGCAAAAACATTGTGATTATGTGATTACTTGAACACCCCCTTGAGGGGCCTTTAAACCGTCCTCGAGTCTATACATACCGTAAATGAATGTAACAGAAACAATCAATTCTAAAACTCAATTCTCGAAATAACGACAAATGTTGATACGAACTACTACCTCCAATGCGAGATGTACGTGGGTTCGATTCCCGGCCGGGTCAAACCAAAGACTTGAACATTGGTGTTTGTACCTTCTCAACCAAAAACACACCATTTGGGAGTATAGGATCAAAGGGGGAATATTATTTTTCTCATGCAGGGTAATCAGAGGCGGATTTAGGGGGCAGGGTGCCCGGCCTCCCCTTTTCTTGGAAAAATTTGGCTGATTATATAAGGAATCACTGAGGCTTGACTGGAGCGGGACCCCGCTTAGGCAGTCAGTGGGCCTTCCCTTATGAAAATTTCTGGATCCGCCAAACTATGTCTCTCTCGGTGTTTAAATTTATTTAACTTGGTCTTATCTTAAATATAGTCTAGGTTGTCTCGTGATAACACTCTCTTATCGAGTGCGGAAGGTCGTGGTTTATAATAAGGTTCCCGGCCGGGTCAGACCAAACACTTAAAAATTAGTATGTGTTGCTTCTCCGCTAAGCATGCGGCATTTATGAGAAAGTCTCTAGTTATTTTATTTATAATTGCCTGGTTTAGTGGTTGCGTGCTCGCCTCACATGCTGGACGTCGTTGGTTCGATCCCAGGCCGGGTCAAATCAAAGACTTGAAAATTGGTGTTTGCGCCTTTTCAACAAATTACACACCATTTAGGAGTGTAGGATCAAAGACTAGTCGGCACCGAGTAATAATAATATGCCCGATTATGGTGACCCGGCTCAGTGTGCAGACCGATAACAAAGTATAGTTTCTATTTATATCACATTGACATGTTCTTGCTTTCGTATGCTTGTAATTATTACGACTGGCCATTAAGCATCAATCCATCGATCCATTCACATAAATGTGGATGCCTGTAGTGTGACACAGTATGATCGCGTATAAATGTAAGTTCAGACTTTGTGATTTGGGTTTTTTTTAATGAGCTTGTTCTGCTGATGTACTTGGTCCAGAACTATGTAAAGGAATGCTCTGTATTCTCTTCTTTTTACCGGCAAAGTGTACATCTGTTGGCATTGAGGGTGAAACTTAATATATTATTGTAACTGTAAATAAAATTTTCTTGGAAAATGATGTCTTTTAAGAATTGATATTTTGATCAGTGATATTGTAGTGAGTAGTGTTCCAGATGTTAAGACCTGTTATACCATGAAAATAGTGATTTTGTGGAAAACAGAAATTTATTTTCACCCCCCCCCCCCTTTCCCCCCCAAAACCAATATGGGAATATGACCAAATTGTGTATGTAAATGAAGGTCTGGATGGGGGTTTATAGAATAGAGAATAACGGGAAAAAAGTACAGAATAAACGGCAACCAGTAGAAAAGATAGTCACAAAAAAGGATAAAGAAAAATAGTGGACTCAAATATAAAGAGCAGAGCATAATGGGGAAAAACAAATAAAGACTAGAGAAAAATGGTATAAAGAATAATAAATAAAGAAATGAAGGATCTCCATCCAGACCCTCCGAAATGATACCCTTGAACAGTACGCCTATGGTATTATTTTGTCTGAAATCTATCATACGACGGTAGAACATTCACGCCAGTCTTGTAACAGTATCAGATATGCAAGTAACTTATCTTCCCGAGACAAAAGCCCTTTATTTAAGCCTATACAAAACTTGAAATGAAGATTTGTTTAGGGCTTTAAGTGGTACGAATGTAAAAACATATATATTGCGAATCCTTAAATTTTTGTTCAAGATTTAGGCTGATCAGGACACACACGACGTTGTTAGCTGGTTTTCGACTTAAGATTGAATGTCCCTTTTGTATCTTTCGACTCTCTAATACACACATTTCTAGACAAAATCTTCTGTAAGAATGTTTTTTTTTAATAATCAAAATTCTTTATTTAGACATAGAGTATGATTTAAGTATAGTTCAATATTCGTGACCAAATTTCCAAGATAGACGTTTTTAATTGTATGTTTTCATCTGTCTATCAATTGGTTTGTTCACTTGAGTAGGCCGACACAGTCTTTTTCATTAAACTATTGATTTCGTCAAAACTCTAACTCTAATTTTGTACTTAGACTGAGTTGTCGATAAGATAAAAGATAAAAGCCAAATCTATCTATGGTCAACTTAATTGGCCGTATTGAAATTAATAACAATATAAAAATAAGAAGATATGGTGTGATTACCAAAAGACAATTATCCACCAGAGACCAAATGACGTAGATGTAAGAAACCGGGTGATGGTGGGGCTTTTTTAACGACCTTGACTGGCCATAAAGCCCTCGCACGGTCGGTTTAAAGGCGGTCCGAGTTGACTTAAGCTTTATAGACTGTCCGATTCGACTTATTAACAGTCTGAGTTGTCTTCATATACGGTCCGACTTGTCTTTTTGTAGACGGTCAGAGTTGTCTGTGGGCCGACTTGTCTCACTCCCGAGCTTAGTACAATAGTTGTGCGCATTCTCAAACCATTTTATGAAAAAATTTCTTACAGGACAGTCGGAATTTAAAACAATACAAGCCATTGTCTTTTGCTTGTAATTAAAATGTTGTATGAGGACTTTTACTAATGAGAAAGTTTTAGAAAAATAAAATATTTTTTACATGTTCATGCATCAAATAATTGATGTCTTAAGATTGTTTAAAATAATTTCAATTTACCAGAAATTGACCGTCAGTATATTTATAGGAATCAGGAAAGTCTTTTATAAAATGGCAAAATCAAAAGCGCAAACACATCTAACGAATGGAAAACAACTGTCATATTTCTGACTTGGTACTAAATGTCTATTTTTCGTTTTACGCATGAATTGGAAATATATTTTTGCTCGTGCAGCCTTTTCCTTTCTTCTCGTATCTTTTTTTTTATGTTTGAAAGAGGATGTTGCAAATATTTCCATCAATGTGCGTTAAAACTCAAATTCATTTAGAAGTCAGTTTCAATACAAATTTGGCAGGTACATCTGTCTCAGGTAGAGTCAAATCAGTGGCGGATCTAGGATTTCCGAAAAGGGGGGGACCACTGACTGAAAAAAGGGGACCCTCTCCCGTCATACTTCAGTTAATTCCTATTAAAGCTACAAACATTTTCTCCAAAAAGGGTGGGTGGGGTGGGGCACCCGGTCCCCCTAAATCCGCCTCTACAAATGGTCAGTCATACAATGTTTTTCGGGATTATATTGCAGTTGTAATTTTTATTATTAAGATTATTCCCCTTACTCTAAACAATTGAAAATTGTATTTGCACGTCGTGTGTTTTAATATAGAAGGAAACCGCTCCAACGTGATTTTGTTTCAATTTCAGCTACTATAAAAATAAGGAGATGTTGTGTGATTGCCAATGAGACAACTATCCACCAAAGGTCAAATGAAGTGGATGTAAGCAATCATAGGCAACCGTACGGCCTTCAACAATGAGAAAAACCCATACCGTGTGGTCAGCTATAAAAGGCCCCGACATGAAAAGTATGAAACAATTCAAATGTGAAAACTAACATGACTAACGGCCTAATTTATATCAAAACAGTTTACGAAAAACAAATATGACAGACATGAACCAACGACAACCACTGAACTACAGGCTCCTGACTTGGGACAGGCACCTAAAGAATGTAACGGGGTTAAACATGTCTAGGCAATTTTAACCAACAAGTTGACATACATTATGTCTGATTTATTACCAAAACAACAAAGAAAAAAAAATATTGCTATCTTATCTATAGCAGTCATACATTTTCTACCAAAACGATCAGACGAAATCAAATAAATTGTTACTCAGCTTTATTTATTCAACAGCCTATTTTGTTTTAAAGAATTGAAATGTTGCGGCAAAGGTATTATCATGAAAGCAAACCAAAACGAGCTCTTTTTGTTTCCCAATGAAAATTCCAGTTGGAGAATTGAAACCGCCTTCGGGTCTTAGAATTTCTTCAGCTGATTTGCCATCGCGTGTTATTTTCAGAATATTGCCTGATGAAGTTCCGACAACAAGGATATTGCGTTCATAGTCAACACTTACGCCACTCGGACATTTTAGGTCCGACCTCTTGAATTTCCAATAAATTTGCTGTTCCAAATCGCAACACACTACTTCGTTTTTCTTCCAGTCGGTATAGAATAAACGCGAAGACTAAAATGCAATGTATTTAGCGTCATGAAACTTCATTTCTATTGTTTTGACAAGTTTTCCCTTTAAGTCAAATATTTGGAATCCAACTTTCTGGATTGCAACAATTAAGTTTGGATCGTTGTAAGTTATAGCGGTACAAATGCCATCTGAAGTACTGAAATTCTCCATTACCTTGGGCTTTGATGAGGAAATTTCTATAACCTGAATTGTACTTCGAACGGGGAAATTCAAAGCTACATATTTATTTGCAACCTCACATACATCCCACGGGTTATCAAACAATTTTATTGTCCGAGATTTAACACCATCGCTCTGATAGACAACAAGACACTTATTTTCATATTCTGTGAATACAAGCTCTCCATTTGAAAGAATTGTGCATCCATTTATATTGATGTAATCTGTTGATTCAGTTACGAATTTTTGTTGTAGTGTCAGCTTTGTCGTTGAAGAAAACCTTGTCGTTTCGGTCACTCTAGATTTAGGGATAAAAAGTCGATCAGAATCTTTAGCTTCATGAGATTTGCTTTTCCCACCTCTAACTGAAGCGCTTTTCCCTCCCTTAGCACTAATTCCGCGTTGATCTTTACGTGACTTTGCTGTCCAGGTTTGAGCTTGTGAAAACTTAGAATCGCAATGGTTCTCACATATGATGTGTGTTTCAGCAAACTCTTCCATGAACGACTTAACATGCTTAATATTTAAGTCCCTTGTAAATTTTATGTCATAATTCCCTAGTCGCTCTCCTATTCCTGATATAGACGATCCAATAGAATCAAGTCTTTTTTGTAGTGATCTAGTCCCGAGAAACATCTGTAAGTCAGATGCAAATTGTTTCATATTAGAAAGATAATCTCTGATACCTGTGCACTGAACGGTTAATGCTTCTAGTTCATTGTATTTTTCTGTTATTTCATTTTTACAACGATCAGATGATTTTGCAATACTTTCGAAAAGCCTTTTTTCAAAAACATCAAGGCAAGTAATTATACTTTTTCGAAATTCTTTAACCTCAGATTCTAATTTTTGGCGTTGCTTTTTGATATTTTCGTTGTTTCGTTGATGGTCTTGTTTCAAAATATCCAGGGTTTCAACAACAGAACATAAACTCTCTTCAAGCTTTTTAACAGTAGATGATTGCTTTGAGTTTCAGTTTACAATATTTTCAAGTAAAGATATTGGTGGACGACAATCAGGATGATTTCTTGATATGCATTGGACGCAACAAGGTTCGTTGTGAAATGAAAAAAATAATCTAGTTTCATATTATGCTTATCACACATAACACTAATCGACAAAGCAACCGACGGTAACATCTGGACTTCTTCGATTGAATTAAGTTGGTGACTTTTTGTCGATGTTTGTATTTTGTGATATCCACTGCATTTACAGCACAACGATTCCTGACAGGATGGGCACCAGTTTATAGCAGGGTTTGATTCATTGTGAGCCAACCTACAAGGTGTGCAGAATTTTCCTGGCTTAGCCATAGTTTTACCTACAAATACAAATTTAAGTATTCTGATACAATAAATCTAGGCAACAGTTGTTTAGCGATGTTCAAACCTCATAAATCGATTGGGAAGATACATATTAAGTTAAAAAAAAACAAGAACTGAGGGAATCGAATGAATATAAAAGGAGCGGGAGCGTCGACAGGGTAAGCGTCTCTTGCTATGTAGGCATCACCGCCATGCGAATCCATACTCAGTCAATAGGTAGTTGTACACAATATATTATGGTATGTATTGATGTAAGACCTAAAAATTGTAACAGACATCAACAATCGAAAACCACCGGACATGATCCTTGCATCTACAGAAAAATGAAAGAAATTTACGTTGGGTTAAATATATTTATGAGCACCCAACCCTTACAAATCAGAGACAGTGGTGTAAGCGCTACAGTGTTAGAACATTATATGAAAATAATAATATGGTCCATTCGTTAGATGTGTTTGAGCGTTTGATTTTGCCATTTTATAAAGGACTTTCCGTTTTTAATTTCCCTTGGAGTTCGGTATTTTTGTTATTTTACTTTTTAGAACAAGTTATACAAAAAGAGGCGGATATACCAAAGGGATATTTGAAGTCGAAAAGAAACTGACAACACAATGACAAAAGTGAAAAACGACAAAAAGACTAACAAGTCCATAAAACAGAACATAGAATACTAAACACAGAGCAGCACACACCCCATCAAATAATGGGACAGTCTCAGGTGTTTTGAAAGGATCAGCAGATCCTTCTCCACTAGTGGCACTTGTCATTTTACTAATGGTAACATACAAAGAAATGAACGAGATCGTGGTTACGACATTTTGAACATACCTGTGACACAGGTATTCCATTACGGTCACCGTCAGCAAACTCGCGATGTCGTCTATAAATAAATATTTTTAAGGGATGACTTCAATTTTACCACTTGGAATCCTTGGTTTCATACCTTCCTTGTTTAAAACAGCAACCATCTTTCATTCAAACCATGATAGAAAGCACAAACCAGGGGAATATCGTATCAACTGGAAGATATATACTCTATTTACATGCGCTGATTGCTACAAAGAACCGAAAAGCTCACAATTTGAAAGCTGAAGTCATCCCTTTTGTCGCAATGTTTTGTTTTCAAGTCCTATATGATAGATGCATTCAACATACTAATAGTCAACCAATAGGTTGAGGACATCATCTATTTGTCGGAATGTGAAGTAAAACGAAATGCAAGCATCTTTTCTTTCTTCTTGATAAACTCCTGTATGAATTCAGCCTCACATGAAATAAATTGAAAAAGACGAAAAATATCAGATGGGTTGATTTGATTGACCAACTTTCTTCTTCAAAAATCTCATCTCAATCATATTGGTTTCGTTTCTTTGCAGTCAGAAAATATTTTTAAGCGTGTGTAAAGTGATCACAACTTGATATTTGATCATATTTGGTAAAAATTACGAGGTATTAAGATTAATATACAAAACATCAAATTATGTACGATAGACGACCTTTCCTCTAACAGAACTATTAACGCTACATTAAGGTTTCTATTCATTACTTCAAAAACATTGTAGAATCATGTCGTTCCTTCCCCCCTAATGTGACGTAAATCTGTTATAAATCTATAAATGAATAATCTATTTCATCGAACTAACTTGTTGAAGTTGAATACGTACCTAGAATTTGACTGTTTTCATATTAACTGTTCGTCCATTTTGTTTACAGTTATGTACAACACGCCATTAGTGAATACTCATTACTAAAGTTTGACAATTGAAAGGATGTATTGATATTCTGATACTTGGGTTTCACCTACAATGTTATTGTGCACAAAAGAATACAAATAATACGGGTATCATGCTATCGACAAAAGAAATAACCCCAGTCTAGAAAAATCATAAACGGATCCAGTACTTTATTAAAAAACGGGTCTTATTTCGTCTAATTTATATTCATGATATTTGTGAGACTAAATAGTAACCTAACTGTTATTTTAACGAAAAAAATCGAAAACGTTGAATATTTTATTTTTTAGCCAAACAAAATCTTTAAAGCGCAATTTACCTTGTATCACCTTTATCATGTTTATCAAATAAAATGTTCAAACTTAGTAGTCAATATCAACAAGAGGACAGACGAAGGGATTTCGTGTTTACGATTTCGTTTTAGGTGTTTTGAAATTGGATAGTTATTGAAAAATATCTTCTCATGTTTGTTATCAGATGATAACTGTAAAAGGATATTAACTTTAACTTTTATTATTATAAGGAGTTTTAGGTTTCAGTCATACAAAGGGAAAAGTGAAGTGAAGTTTATTTCGTTCATTCTGTCATACGGCACAGATATAGAACATGTAGAATATATAAAACAAGTTGCTTTCTTTAAAAAAAGAAATGCAATCGTAAACCCAAATGCTTGTTTGGCATTAGATATAAGATAGTTGTTTTAAAAAAAAGATTTATTGTTTTATATCATTTTTGTTATATAAGAATTAGAAACTGACAGTGACTGTTTACTTAAAGTAAATACTGTTCAATGTGGGGTGAAATATTCTTGTTAAAGGAATATTTTTTTCTCTCCTCTCTCCCGAAAGACATCATGTTAAGTCACCCACTTGATGTTCCATTCTAAGATGCTGGTTTTTGTTTTTAAATTAGAGTTAGTTTTTAGGCTAAAGTTCAAATGCAAATGTGAAGAAATTTAATCAATTAATGATTATATGTGTTTAAGAAATGCAAAACGTGAACCTGTAAAATAGCCGTTTTTATTGGAATTTGAGATATGTTCATGGTTATTTGAACAATGGCTTGATATTGATCATTATTAAGATCCTTACACCTGCTCTGCAAGGTTTTTTATGCTTAGGGTAGCAAGCATTGGCAATTTTAAGTTCTGTGCTTTGTGTATGCTCTTAAAAGTTTTAGATGACAAACCTCTTTTGTTAAAAACAAACACTTTTAAAACCTTTACCTCGCTTTGAAGATATTTTCCGGATGTCCCTTTTTATTTTGATGTTTTCTTATATTTTAAATTGTGGGTCATGAAAAAAAAGCCTGCAAGTTTAATTGTAAATATACTAGTATACAATTTGAATCGCACTGTATCCTCTTCACCTTGATGACCGAAACCAATTCATTAAAAAAGATATTTATAGCCTAGACAAAACAGCTGACACCTTGTACTTATAAAGAAACAAACAAAATTGAAAACAACAAAAAAACTAACATGGTCAAACCTGAAATTACCACTGATCAGTATACCCATCACCTAAATATGAGTTTGTTTAAAAGTCACATTAATGAACTGTTGTAAGGTGTTCCTTTTTGTCGAGCATTCGACTTTAGTCGAAAAAGCGAGACAAAGCGATTCTACATTCCGTCGGTGTCGTCGGCGGTGGCGTCCACAAATATTCACTCTGTGGTTAAAGTTTTTGAAATTTTAATAACTTTCTTAAACTATTCTGGATTTGTACCAAACTTGGACAGAAGCTTGTTTATGATCATAAGATAGTATCCAGAAGTAAATTTTGTAAGAATAAAATTCTATTTTTCCGTATTTTACTTATAAATGGACTTAGTTTTTTTTTCTGCAGGGAAACGATACATTCACTCTGTGGTTAAAGTTTTTAAAATTCTAATAACTTTCTTAAAGTATCCTGGATTTGTACCAAACTTGGACAGAAGCTTGTTTATGATCATAAGATAGTATCCAGAAGTAAATTTTGTAAAAATGAAATTCCATTTTTTCCGTGTTTTTCTTATAAATGGACTTAGTTTTCTGCTGGGATACAATACATTCACTCCGAGGTTAAAGTTTTTTTTTAAATTTTAATAACTTTCTTATACTATCCTGGATTTGTACCAAACTTGGACAGAAGCTTGTTTATGATTAAAAGCTAGTATCTAGAAGGAAATTTTTTGTTAAAATTTTGTACCTGTTTATCTGTAATTTACTTATTAATGGACTTAGTTTTTCTTCCAGTTAACATTACATACAGTCTGAAGTTAAATTTTTAGATTTATAGACTATCCTGGATTTTTACCAAACTTGGACAGAAGCTTCTTAAAATAAAAAAAAAATAGTATTGAGAGGAATATTTTTATTGATGTTTTCCTCATTTTTGTTGAGCCTGCGATTTACAGCAAAAGTAGGCGAGACACTGGGTTCCGCGGAACCCTTACGATTTTTTTTTTTATCTGAACACGATTTTTTCATTAAATATTAAAGGGTGTCTTTTACATGGTAAAATTACACTACTGTCTTATGGTATATGTATGTAAATTCTTTTAAACCAGATGTATTCATAAGCACATGTCCAAAGTCCGAAGCATGTTGTTTAGTGGTTGTCTTTTTTTGGTGCAGTTCATATTTGCTTTTTGTTTCTGGTTTGAAGTTAAATTAGATCTGTTTGTTTTTTCCTGTTTAAATTGTTTTATAACAGTGTTTTAGGGCCCTCGGTAGGATGCTGTCCAATGTGAGCCAAGCTTCTGTGTTGAAGGCTGAACTATAACCTATAATTGGTAATTTTGACTACACTGTGTTTTGATGGAGAGTTGTCTTCCTACCACATTTAAAAAGATATTCCCTGACATTTGACAAATCCATTAGAATAATCGAGATACTGAAATTGAACTGAAGTTGCCTAGTAGGTTTCTTTCATTGACCCGGCTATCCTTTTTCTCTCTTGCTGGATAGTTTTATACTGGTCATTTGGGGGCACTGTGTAGCCTACTGATCAGTGAGATGGCTCAAAATCTTCTTACACTATTTTACATTTTCGTACGTAAAACCGAAAATTCATCATCTGATCGTCTTTATGAAATAATAATTATTTATTTTTATTTTGACGAACATTTTGAAGAGCATTAATTACTACAGACCGAACATATAGTTAGATAATCTGTTCCCTGACCAAGATAACTATAAATAGAAATTAATTTTTCTTATATCTCTGCCTGCATCTGTCATCACTCGGTGTCTATTAATTAATAGACATTTGATAAGGAAATAACGTTGCAATATTTAAACAAAGAAAATTGCAATTTTAAAGAAAATAAAAAATATTCAAGGACGTATATCAATTTAGATTATATACGTCCTTGGTCTATCCTAGACGTAAAATTTCAATAAAGTGCAAGAAAGACTTCATTTTAATTTCAGTATTGTCTTTTAGTTAGTCCCACAAGGACGTTGAGGTATGAAAATTATGAAATAGTCTGCTTCGTACATTATTTACATTTTCCCTAGACTCGGAATCTTAAGTGAAATGCTAGTAATACTTCTTTTATAGATTTTAGTTTTAACAAATCTCGTTTTGAATATAAATCGCATTGTTTACGTGAAATCTTATCTCATATCTAAACACAGCTGGTTTCAACGTTTGACTCTAATTAGAATAACTATGCGTAAATGTAAGGTAAATATTAGCAGCTTGTAATTGCGTGCAAGGAAGTATTCAAATGCTTATTAAAGTAGCTTGCGTCATAATAAATTTCGCATCATATGTAACATATCTCTATAGCAACTTTAAGATGCTAATGATTCATCAGGTCAAATAATTAGCTATTGCGCATGTATATGAAAGGTGGCCATAGAAAGAAACAGATGTATTCCGAATAACATCCGGTGTTCCGAAAGACTACGGACATCGTCCAATATATACCCTCAGGGGTTTACGCAAATAGTTTCTAACAATCGAATATCTTCGTGGTTTAAACCTGTTATCTACCTGCTGTATGTTTGAAGTGGCTCTTCCTCCCATAATATAGGTAGACCTGTTCATTAGATTATAAGGCGACTCGGTGGCCGAGTGGTCTAAGTAGTAAAACTAGTACAAACACTTAACTCTTTGATTTTTTCTTTGTATTCAGTGTAAGCTTTTTATAATTTTGAATGTATGAGCTGAATGGTTGATTAGAAAGAGAATGAATATATTAATAGGGATATGATGTTTTTCTATAGAAAATGATATATATATGTATATGAGTATACACAAGTTGATAAGGGAGCTACCATTTGATTTTTATGGGGGGGGGGGGGGGGGGCTAGGATAAAAAAATTTGTCCTGCCTATTTATTTTTCCCTCTATTCGGTCTTGCCTTTTTATTTTTCACTCTATTCGGTCCTGCCTTTTTTTTTTTTTAGTTTATCCTGACTTTTTTTTGACATAAATTGTCATCCTGCCTATTTTTTTTGCAAATAATCTCATCCTGCCTTTTTTTTTACTCAAAACTCCTGTCCTGCCTATTTTTTTCAAATTTCGTCCTAGCCCCCCATAATCAAATGGTAGCTCCCTAATCAGACAATCATGTTCGTGACAAATATTTCACGCAATATATAGCTAATATTTCAAATATGAATCTTTTCAGAGAAAAGACAATAACTAATGACAATTTTTTTCATTTTTGTGTAATTGAAACTGTGATATGTATATACAAATTGTGAATATAATAAAGATAAAAAAAAAAGTAGCCAAGCTACTGTATCACTAGCCTGCCAACACTGAGGTTGTGAGTTCGAATCCCGCACGGGGTAGGTGCATTCGACTCCAATCTTAATTGACTAGGATTGTCCATTTTCCTACCGAAGGTCGGTGGGTCTCTCCGGGCACTCCAGCTTCATCCACCAATAAAAACTGACCGCCACGATATAGCACAATAGTGTTTAAAGTGGCATTGAACACCAATCAATCAAGCAATCAATTATATTATATTTTTTCGACAAGAAGTGCCAATGTTGTCAGAAAATGAACGTTATGTTTGTTTAAAACTTTGTAATTTCTTAAAAGCTAAGTTCAAAGTATTAAATAAAAAAAAAGATTTGATGGCACAAAAAATACCAATATATTACAAAACCAATGTTAAAGAATATCAACCACGGAGATTTGGATAGATGTTTAACACCAACGACAGGAATGTGTGTGCTGTACAGCATTATGGTTATTTATTCACCTATATTCATAAACATATTGAATTTATTTTAAATGAAATATACATAACAAAAAAAAGTGACATCAAATGAAATAGAGAGGACAAACAAACGTCCAGAAAACAAAACACCACCAACTAAAGATTGCGCATCACAAAGTAGTGGAATAATTTTGCATCGCTGGTGACATAACATAACACGACTTGTTCTTGTAATGTGTAGCACGGCGGCTTCGAATATTGGGGACAGAAACGTCATACTTTTCTGGAGCACACGATTTAAAAAAATCCACGCTGTGTAAGATTTTGAATATGCGAGTTGCTATATAATAAAAAGGGACATCAAAAAGATAGTCAAATCAATCTATGTTACTTAAGTATCTTTGTCTTAACGAGATGGAAAATTCGTTTTTTTTTTTAATGATTTCTTTATTTATCAACACAGACTTTAAGTAAGGTATGTTATAAATCATGTCTACTACTACTTAGATACTATCGGAGACTAGCAGTTATCAGCAGCGGTATTGCCAATAAAAAAGGAGTTTCCATTTTTAGCACTTTTAGCGAAGTTCCGTAGTTGCGATAATTTTGTAACCCCCCCCTTTTTTCAGTTGTATGATTATTTTTTCTTCCACTTTAACAAACGAACAAATAAAACACTTCCAAGTATATTTCGACAGTATTCCTCAATAGTCTCTTTCCTTCTGCCTCTTTTTAATATCTTTTCATGATTATGTCCGATCCCTCTTTTTCGAGAAATTGCGTATTTTTTTATCTACAAAAACTCATGAAAGATACTAGGACGGATGGATAAATGGCTGTTTAACGTTTAGAGGCAAATTAAATGTACATTCAGGACGGGCACATGATAATATAATATGAATATAAACCCTGCTCTTTGTACTAGATCGACACTCGCAGCAAGATTTTTAACGTACAAGTTCACAAGGTAATAGTCCGCAGGAACACATGTCACCCAAACCGGACACATTATTCTGACTCCTAGTCGACCTTTTTTGCTCTTACTCCTAAATGCTGCGTGCTTAGCGGATAAGCAGCAATTCCAAGCGTTTGGTTTGACCTGGCTGGGGTTCGAACCCATATCCTCCCGCAACCAAGGCAAGCACGCTATCATGATACCACAGATGCAGTCAAAGATACTAAGCTTATAATCTATAAATTTGTAAAACATTTGGTGTGGGTGTGATTAATATTTTTTGTATTCTGACTTTTGCAATGACATAGTATATATCAGAAATGGCGCTTTTTAATGTTAAGTTTAGCTGTGTCTCTATCAAACATATCTGCATATTGATTGTCACCCTATTCGCCTTACAGTGTGTCTGTCTATCCAATACCGAATTGTGTCAGTTTTTACTGAACTCGTATTAGATTTGAAAACTCCTTTTGTCTTTTGTCTACAGAATTATATATGATTTTACCAATTTAAATGTCCATTGTTTTGGACGATTTCTCAACTCTAAAAAATTTGAAGATTTTGATGAAATACCTACTTTAGTTTACACAAGAAAAGAGAGAACCCTGACACAGTTTCGCAGAACATGTGCAGTTGTGCATTCCAAAGTTTTGAGCATATCATATAACTTAAAATGAAAATAGCACTTGATTAATTCCGTGTGTCCGAAGCACTTTTCTGGATTTATCTTCATCAGCAACGTTCATATCAAAACAAAAGCCAAGAATGTTTAAACCTAAAAAGTAAAAGAACAAAAATATCGAACTCCAAGAGAAATTCAAATCGAAAAGTCCTTTATGAAATTGCAAAATTAAAAGCTCAAACACATCACAGGATGAAATATTTGTCCTGCATTTTTTTTTTGTTGTAATCTCTGTCCTGCCTTTTTATTTTTCACTCCTGACTTTTTTTACATAAATTGTCATCCTGCCTTTTTTTGCCAAGTTGCTCATCCTGCCTTTTTTTTTTACTCAAAACTCCTGTCCTGCCTTTTTTCAAATTTCATCCTAGCCCCCCTATAAAAATCAAATGGTAGCTCCCTTAGGTCATAAAACGCCAAAATAATAACCATAAACAGTCATGATTAATTTGGAAGAAAATGTCCTATATTCTGAATAATGTTAAAAATGTTTATTACTAAATACATCTTTATATATCTGAACCTAGCCATCACAGTTTATAAGAATGTCACATATCAGTTTATAATTGTTTATCATTTATATTACAAATAACTATTTACATTTTGTAGATAGGTTTGAAAAATACTCATGAAGACTGCTTCAACGACACCTGACTTTATACTTTTCCTCTAAAACCTGGTTAGGATTTATCTATCTGCACATACTCCAATTCGATCATGCATGACTTATCAATTGAATTTACAGAAAATCAATGTTTTCTTCTGTAATCTGTCCAGAGTGTTTGTCCCTGTAACGTACAGTGATTTCAGTACCCCCTGTTTCTAAGTCAATGAAGCCTTCGGTAGTTTCTGGCCATTGTCCATTCGGAGGATAAACAGTGATTTTCCCCCTTAAGGAGCATCCCGAATCTGTAATGAAATTAGGATCCTCATCCTTTGATACGTAAACTTCGATGATTTTCGGTTGTTTTCTTATGTTTTTAGATTTATGGAGATCTTGTAACTCCAGTGTTCGTGTTTGTCCAAGTTTCACAACTTCATTTACAGTAAACAGTTTATTGAAACTTTTATCTACACGCAGAATACCGTCAATTTTAAAAGTGTGTGTGTTTGTTTCTCCTTCTGGTACGTATGGTCGATGAAGTGTGAGGCCTAATGTTTCCCGACAAACCCTACCAGTAACTATACCTGGACGATGACCAAATATTACTGATCCTTTGAGCACAGACATTGAAGTTCCAGGGGGTGACACAATTGGTTTTATTACAGGAAAAGCGTTGATAATCGCGTCTCGAATAATAAGAGCGTCGGCAAAACCACCGACTAATATCATCGCAGACGGCCATGCACACCCTCTTTTCATGAATGTCTCATTGATATGATTGATGATTTCTGTAACACAATCGTGGAAAAATTTCTTGAATATCTCTACATCAATACACAACTTGTCTCCAATTATTTTTACTTTACCATCAAGCCTTTTCCTTAGTTCATTTGCAATATCTTTTTCTCGTCTTCTTTTATAAATTTCCACAATTTCTACGCCAATTCTTATTCCAATTACTTCTCGCGTACCCGCAGCTGATAGGGTCTTCTTTTGTAACTCAAAGTCTCCTTTCAACTCCATCCACTGGGAAAGATGGTTCATTTTGAATTCTTCCATTACATCATTACCAAATACCTGAGCCAGGAAGTTTTCAAAATTCTTATTGACCTGGTTACCTCCCCATGCCCCTCCTGTAACTCTGTACACGTGCTCTATATAGGTTAATTGTTCTTCCTTTTTTATAACTTTGATAACTGTGATATCAACCGTACCTCCTGAAATATGGAGAAAAGACGCACGATTTTATCTTAAAATACAAGTATACTTATTAAGTCATGGAGAAGACTTCATAAGTATGATTTACTTGAGTCTCATCCATTATGATTATATTTAGCAAATAAAATATTTTAAACTAAACTAAACAAAGGTCGAGATGTGATCCTGACATGATGTGGCACCCACGTTATTTTCAACTTGGTTGAAAGCGGTCAACTGTAAGTTTTGTTTTAAAAAAATGTTCTGAAAACAGAATTTTATTTCAACTTATTTAACCCACCAGATTAGTAACATATTTACATAGTCAACCAGACATAATTTTAAAGCACATGATTTTTTTTTACTGCAAATACGAAGGCTTCTATCCTTACTTGTCCTTTACATGGTCTTACATGAGGGTCTGGATGGAGGGGGGTTCCTTTATTTCTTTATTCTTTTATTTTTAGACTTTATATCGTATGTCTATATGCTGTATTTATTTTGACCATCGTTCTTTATGATGGTTGATTGATTTGTTAAACGTCACTTTCAGCATTATCGTGATATTTCGTGGTGATCAATTTCTACTGGTTGAGGAAACCGGAGTGTCCGAGGAGAACAACCGATCTTCGGTAGGAAAACTCTGAAGTTTTGTCAATTAAGATTGGTGTCGAGCGCGGGATTCGAACTCACAACCTAAGTGTTGACAGGCTTGTGATACAGTGGTACGACTACTTAGACCACTCGGCCACCAATGCCCCTCATCTATTCTTTATATTATAACACCCCATTAATCGCTATTATTTATATTTTTGCCTATCTATCTTTATTGTTATGCCCTTTATACTGCACTTTTTGTCCACTATTCTCTATTTTGTTAACCCCATCCAAACACTCTAACAGTACTGCGCTTCCACCTAAACAAGTTAAATGCTTGAAAGTTGTACGGTAAGAAAAAATACTACAATAAGCGTAGTAGAATATCTATATGCAACGATTATCGTATGATTGGGATATCTGTTTTAGTGTTTTTGGAATATCCAACATTTTCGATGAATATAAGAAATAAAGAAATGATAACAAAAAAAAAACGTTCACAATATGTTAATTCGAGATAATATGAAATAAATTATGCTCTAGAAAAGATGCTTAGTCAGTTAAATTATTAAGTTTGTTCATGAACTTTAAGATTTGCTACACTTACCGCCAAGGTCTACAATCATCAGTCTCCGTCCTACTTCGAAATACTTTGCAATGCCTTGGTCCGCAGGTAACAAACTGCAGTACAGAGCAGCTGCCTCGGGTTCATAGGCAAGTATCATCATTGAACTTTCAATGCCTGCCTAGAAAGAAACATACCCACGTGTATTAGCTTAAGATTTCAGCAAGAAAGATGATAAGAATTTTATATAAAGAGGTGTCTATGATTCATTCCAGACAGAAACATACAAGACCTTATGTGAGCTAAAGAGCACATTCTGACATAACTTTTGAAGGTCATTTATTTTCATCTTCCAAACAGCTAACTTGAGACAAATCTAACAAAGTAGTTCCCATTGATCTACATACTTCACTTCATTTCATACTTTAAAAGAGGGAAGACGATAGCAAGGAAGGAAAAATATATGACACCATGACAAAATAAAAAACTTTGAAATACATTCCACAAAACACTACACAGAAAACTAAAGATTTTGCAACACGAACCAAACATCATGGGGAACACAGGTGTTCTGGAAAGGATGAGCATTCCTTTCCACTAATGACCCCCGAAATACTGCTCATGGCAAATAAAAGTCCATGGTTAATTGATGAAAAGAGAATGTGACTTGCAGATTTCATTATCAGAATTTAACATACAATTCTGACTTATAAAAAAGCACAGTTTCAAATTTTGTTCAGGTGACTTAAATAGCTTTTTCTCAAGATAACGTTGTCTTTTCTTGCATAGTATAAATCAATAGAAACCTTCAAAAACCGCGGAATAAAAAGTTCTCATAATCAAATATCGCACCAAAATTTTTATTGAGATAAACATGCGCAATGTTTAATGACTTGTCAACCAGTACAAGTATACTTACCATTTCAGAGCAAACACGCATGAACTGCTTAGCAGCATCGGTCCAAATAGCAGGAACAGTAATAACAAAAAGGATATCTTTAATTTTGGTATCTAAATTTTTGTTGGTAAATATCTCCAGAAAGTGGTCTTTCAGGTATTTTATGGATTCAACAAACACTTTTTTGGCAAGCAACGTTTTTCCTGTTATGTCTTGAATTTTCATTCCCAAAGAAATTTCCTAATAAGATAAAACTAATTTGAATCAATAACTAGCAGCTCATATAATCATTGATGCATTTATTTTTATCACTCTAATTTACAAAGACTAAATAGACTACAATAAAGGAACTATAACTTCTTCATTGTGTGAGGAGTTATGTGTCCAAAAGAGCCGATAATATAGGAATATCCACATCCGATCAACTTTGCCTGAAAAGAGTTCGATTTTCATGGAAGATTCCATTTAAGTTTTAATTTAACTTTTTGTCTGTAATGCATTTGGTGTTGCTGGGATATCTATGGTATTATGACAGATGCAGTAACAACTTCGTAGCTAATGTTAATTAATTGAAATAGGAAGTTGATATATCATGACATTCTGGGCATTTTTTTACTATCAGATTAACTCTTTTTATGGCGGTTTTCAAGATCTATATAAGACAATCAAATAAATGCATTTTACACCGATTTTGAATTTTTTGATTTTTATTTTGTTAATTATTAAGATTTCTTCAGTTGTTATATTTGTTGATTGACAGGAAAATTCCGTCTTCATTTCATCAATTGTGAGACTAATTACCGAATTTGTATTTGCCATGTGCAACACGACGGTTGCTTATAGTGGAGCAGGATCTGTTAGTTTACACTACCAGAACACCTAAGATCACGCCTGTTATGTTATTGACTCTTGTTACTTTGTCTTTTCGTTTTCTTTTTTTTTTGTCTGTTTTTTCGTCAATTTGAGATTTTTTGGCACTTTGGTATATTTTGTCTCTTTTTATACTCACACAATTTTACCATATTTAGTTTAACAGAACTGACATGGTACACTTAATAAATACCCTGTTATGAAGTTGCATCTTGAAATCTTGTACGAAATAGTACTTAACAGCTTTCTCTGGATCAATCAATAACAGTTGTTTGTAATTGTTCTGTGCTCTGTACCCAAACGAGTTAAACGACTGATCGGGATTCAGAAGCAATACCGATGGTGCTTTCATTTCATCATTAAAAACACCTTCTGATATCCAGCTATTGGTACTGATCTTAAGTGGATTATCTTTAAATTCGGACCGAAATGAGAAGGCATATCCAGAAAAGGTTGTCCTTAAATCGATTGCAGTAACAACAATCCAGTCTTTTTCAGCCATTCTTATAAACCTTAAGTAAAATAAAAAATGAAAACAAATGATTTCAAAAGAACTATTTTGCAAAATAATATTAATGTTCATTCCAGGGGAAAAGTGTACCGCAAAATGATCGTATTCCGATGAGCTCTTCAACTGTCCCCTCTAATTGCATGAGTTCACAGTAAACGACAAAATCCATAAAGACTCAAACGAACAACACTTGATATATATTTAAGCAACACCTGAAAATCTTACCGATATACTCTCGATAAACAACGATATACTCTCGATAAACAACGATATACTCTCGATAAACAACGATATACTCTCGATAAACAATCCCGATAATACTAAATGAAATTAACATCCTCAACTCATTCTGAATAATCAAAAATAAATGACAACATATCCCGTTTTTAGACATGGATATAAGAATAATAATTTTCATACCAAAATTTATGATAAAACTTTTTCTTTCCTATTGTCAATGTTTCTTTTAATGATGGCAGTATTCTGTTTGCTCCTTCTCGGTGTATATAATGCTGGATATGTCAACATTTTTTACAAAATAAATTCATTAGATAAGGGACTGTGCCAACGAGACAACTTTTCGCCCCCCAAAAAAAACAAACCAAAGGACAAGCAGGTCACTGTGGGACCTTTAACAATTAGCAAAATAATACTGCACAGTAAACTTTAACAGTCCCAGGGATGACAAAATGTTTAAGAACTCAAAAGGCAAAACCCAAAACAATTATGAAAGACAGCAACTAACGACAACCACTGGACAGGCACATAACGAATGTAGCGATATTAAACATAAGAACAAATTAAACAAAAAGTGACAAAGGCTTGACAAATTAGATTGACACTAGTGACAAACACCCAGCAAAAATAAATGAACATATGGAATTATGGAATATGGAAGTGTACTCCAATATATAAAATAAACATCTCTGCAAGCTTGTTGTTTAGATATAAACAAGAAACGACAATGGCGGAAAACAATTTCTGTTGATTTTTCGTGTGAAATATATGTGAAGAAAACTGAAACTTTAACTGCAAGAAAAATATGATACAAAAATCAAGAATTTAAAAACTTTCCAATGATTGTCTCAAGGCTGCATGTTTTAAAAGTTTGAAAAAAGGCTGATGGAAAGAAAACAAAATGATTATATATCTAACTTAACAATTATATTTTGAAATAGATTTTCCCCACTATGTATAATAATTAAGATATAACTGAATTCTTTACTATTTAAATCGAATAATCAAATAACCATTTATTCTGTGTTCCATAAAATTTTACAACCACAAGTTTAAAATATATTATTTACTTTTTAAATGGGTGATGGTTATCAAAGGCGCAATCAAAGAGGAACGAAACAGGGGTCAAATTATTTATCAATCTCATAAAATCAAACGAAACCAAAAGACACTTGGTGACGTGAGAATTCAACAGGATCAATAAGGATCGATACAAGAATCAATTTATATATCACTCGTATATATAAAATCTATAATTTTAGAAATTATAATCTGCACAGAACTTTTGTACAAGTAATCAATATTTTGTGAACCTCTTAACATAATGGTGAAAAAACAGACAGACTGTATAATTTGTACGCAATTACATCTTATACAGATTGCTTAAAAAAACCCTCATAAGACATCACTACAAAAATTAATATAATAAAAATACCTGTTGTTAATTCAATTATTGAAGAAGAAAAAAAATGTCAATGCATCTTTTCAATCGATTTAAAATGACTGTTCTTCACTAGTTCCCTCTTATACTTACATTATAAGTAAATTAAAATCGATAAACTTTTTTTTTGGCACAGTATCAAGTAAGAATAACAAGTAAATAACGTTCACCTCTTATAAGCAAATGTTTTTTGGTTTAATTAACGTCTGGATTTCTTTTTTAATAAAAAGGAAATAGATACTTGAAATACTTCAGACTTTTATATCTGTATAATTCATTGAAAATAAAGATACGGAGATGTGGTATGATTGCCAATGAGACAATTATCCATCAAAGTTCAAATGAAGAGGATGTAAGCAATTATAGGTAACTCCATTTTAATGCAGATATTATGCATAATGCATGGTCATGCATGTCAAATATAAAATAAATACAAAAGGCACACAAATATATTACTAATATATGAAATGTAATCTTCATTTTTTGGGCTTTGTATATTTTTTTCTCTGAATGTTCATGTTGGATTTCATGAAATAAGTTATTGTGTCAGAGAATAGCAGACATAGCAATGGTTGTTTTCATACGTTACTGGAAGTTTTTCTTCCGATTCATCCTGAAGTAAAACCAAAAGATGAACGGTAAAAATGTCAAATGATTGATATTATATAAACTTTACCTTTCATTTTCTCCGTACCTTTTCCATATTAGTGTCTCTTCTCATAAAATAAAACGCTGAGGGAATTAAACTGATGAAGTATAAGAAATAAAGTTTATATTCTAAGAAAATACAAATATTTTATAACCTTATACATCCATTTTGAAATTTAATTCCCCAAAGATTATCTATTTAAACCTTCCAAGGGAGATAATATTTTTCTCTGATTATTTTCTTTCTTGTTGATATTTATTTTCTAATATTTTATATTATCGCATTATTATACTTCATACATTTCTTTTTCATTCATTCTTCAAGTTGGTGTTTAAAATTTGTTTATTACATAGTTTAAACATTAAACAAATTTAGCATAATAGCGATCTGAGTGTATTATTCAATGAATGATTGTTGGTTGCTTAACGTCCATTGGTAAATATTTCATGCATGTTTAGGACGATAACAATTAAATTACCATAAATTAACAATAGTAGGCCCTGTAATCATAAAGGTCGGGGAAATTTGGACTGACACTTGAAAATGAGGGTATATTGGATAGGGACATATATTTTGCCTTGCAACAGGCCACCCACGGAACCCTCAAAGAGTTGCTGAAAAGGTTCTTAACGTGCAGAGCGTGTGTCACTCCCGTTACACGAGGCATCGGATTCAACGTCTTCATTATGATTTGACGTGGCTGTATACTTGTACATCCCGCACAGCCAAACGGACGCCCACGTTGGCAAGATTTTACTGCTGGTCGGAAGAAGACAATTGAAAGTGATTCCATTCAGTCGCCATTGGGGATATTTATTCAATGACATGCTGTTTTCAACATTGTTGGCCTTTATGTGTATACAAGAAAGTAACCAGCGCAAGTTCGAGCATGAAAAATGCATTAGGTATTAAGGGGCGATCATTTTATTTTATAGGGCTTGAAAATCAACATTTTTTTTCCTGTTTTTTGTTGGCCAGAACATTCATATTCATCTCGGAATGAGCAATGATACATATCTTCAGTCTTTACATTCTTTAGTTTTCGTATGTCAAATTTACCAGTAAATATATTTGAACCTGCACAATCTAAACTTTATCTCTATCAAGTTGACCCACGCGTTTTCCTGAAAACCGACAAATTAGTTTCTGTACTTTAATAGATATACAAAATATATGATGTGTAATTTATATCAATTACAGTCTTGTCCGTGTGTGTTGTGTCGGTTGAGAGCTCTTCAAAGCTTATGTTACTTTGTTATATCATGTATCGACTTTGAATAACACTTGTACTTATGTATCTCTGCTTAACTACAATTCGCATTTAAATATAGGACATTTTTAATGTCAAACCCTTTGTTTTGAAAATAGCATTTATACACAGCCACATGAATAGATCCCAACCTGAATGTATTCAAAATGTAAATAAACGAAACATATAACCATAGCAATGCCAGCATCACTAAACAATGATTAAAATCGCAACCACATGAAAATATACACTGTGCGTAAATAGATATAAGAAGATTTGGTATGAGTGCCAATGAGACAACTCTCCATCCAAGTCAAAATTTATAAAAGTAAACCATTATAGGTCAAAGTACGGTCTTCAACACGGAGCCTTGGCTCACACCGAACAGCAAGCTATAAAGGGCCTCAAAAATTACTAGTGTAGAACCATTCAAACGGGAAAACCAACGGTCTAATCTATATAAAAAACGAGAAACGAGAAACACTTATGAACCACATCAACAAACGACAACCACTGAACATCAGTTTATTATCTTTGTTTGTTTGGTTATCAAAAACCTAATTATAGTGTTAAGGTGGTACCCAACACTTTGACTAAAATTAATTTGGCTCGTTTAATTTTCATAAAATTTTGACAAAATGTTTACTTTGACCCTTTGACAAAAATATAAAAATTTCAAAAACTTTGAACCAACCACTTTATCAGAAAAATTTCGTTGGTTATATAGCAGTTTGACAAACACTAATTCTGATCATTGAGAAGCGTAATATTTCTTTAACAAAACAACGTGATTAAAACGTTTAGCTGATTTTTACAGAGTTATCTCCCTGTAGTGTTAGGTACCACCTTAATGGCACTAAAATACTGAATTTTAAAAAAGACTTCCCTAAAGCCGTGAATGCGTTTTCTAAAGAGTACTACTGTCACAAATAGAAACTGGGTGTATCTTGTGACTGGGTAATGTGTTGGCCTGGAACCACACACACACAATAAACAATACGACTAGTCTGTACCGCCTCTGACTCTGGGACTAACTCTTGCAACAAAAGACGACTCTGGTTAGAGCGATGTATAATTTAATAAGTTCAGCATGGAATACAATTGTACAGAGTTGGAACTGCTCAGTGTAATACTAAATACAATCTGCCACATCAAAATAATAACACAGTTTATATAACAAAGCAAAAATGACGCTAATTGAAAAACAAATTAAAACATGAAATTAGATTAGCTTAATCTTCTAAACTTGACTTAAACCTTTCACAATAAAAATAACAAAATCCCTTAGTGAAATATTAAAAATCCCTTAGTGAAATATTACAAATATAACAAAAACAGTGATTTTACAAAATCTTTTACAAAATATCCGAAAAATCTCAAAATCAATTTTGTCCATTTTTCCAATGTGACACTACAACAAAATATAAAACCACGAAGAGCGTGAACTAGACTATCTATTGGGAACCTAAATGTAAGGTCTGCATGAGGACTGTTATCCTATAGAATGTTACCCAGCGAGTCGGCATATAGTATGCTAATATCTTGTTTTGATTTAAAGGTTATATTGATGAAAAGGCAATCAAATAACCAATAGACAGTATCAGTAAATTCTACACTCATTGTTTTAACTTAAATCATGAATTGCCCAAACTTCATATTCTCATCGAAATAGTTATCTTCCTCTAGAATTTTTCAATTTTTATCAAATTCAATTTTCTAAAGATTGTAAGTAGCTCTTATTCGAAGCTTTACTGCTAGCTCTTATCCGAGACTATATTGCTAGCTCTTATCTTATCCGAAGCTAAAGTGATCACGCTACCACGAGACAAGGTTTCATCACTTGAAATAAGGTGTACATATAGTTATCGAACTTTAAAAATTGAAAAATGTTCTGCTTATAATATTGTCATTAGCTATTTTCATATACTAGTATTGTGAATTTCTAGTAGTTTAATTTCACAATCTTTCTTTGTTTTGAAAGAATTTTAAAGATCTGAAGTAGACACAATTTCGAATAATTTTGCGTCGTTTTCACGTCGGTAAATCGTTTTACATCCTAGAGTATACAAGTTTTCCTGTTTCAAAATTCACCACTTGTTTAAAATGAAGGGCGATGTGTAAATGTAAAAGTTTGTCATCCATTTTCTATTTTATAGGGACTTTTTTACCTTATTTTAAGGGAGATTAGATCATTAATTGTCAAAATTAACAGCGTTTCCGCTAGACAAGAGTTTATTTTATACTGTACAATGTCACGATTTAACTTCCTGTATAATTACAAAGGTAGAAATAATTTTTGAGTTTTTGTTAAGTTTCCTCTAAAAAATAATAAACATTTTAACCCATCACCCAGATTTCATTGAAAAATATTTATTATCAAAACTAATAGTTGAAATTATATAATAACTAATTAGAGACTTTATAATATTCAATCGAATTTCTTTATTTTTCGTTGTGGATTTTAAATGTAATACATCCATATTGGTCAATATAAAAAAAGGAGATTTGGTATGATTGCCAATGAGACAACTATCCACCAAAGCTCAAATGAAGCGTATGTAAGCAATTAAAGGCAACCGTATTGGTTCATTCTGTTTTCATTAATGTAGCCTTTATTGACTATAATTTGTTCTTATCGAGGTTTTGCTGCAATATCTATAATTTTAAAAATATTTCATTAAACAATGATTCTTAATTTGAGAAGTAGTTAAAGATTGAATTTATTTATACTTTACACAGGACGCAAAACCTCAATGCTTTTGATCATGAGGTTAGATAACTATAAGTATACAACCCAGGTACGGATCAGGGATTTTTAAAAAGGGGGGGGGGGGGACTCCGGAAAGCCAACGTTTGGCGTGATACTGTAAAAAGTCTATGCGTTTATTATATATAAATCTCCTAAATCCGCCTCTACAACCAGTTAATTCATAAATTGATGCATACACTGACTGAAATAGCTTGCAAATTTTATCACAAAAAAAGTTTTAATGAAAAATATTTTATTTTTATGTCACAAACCAGTCTGTGCTTCATAATGCAACATTTTTTAACGACAACAACTTCATAGTTAATAACCTGTACCTAAATATACATGCAAATGAATTTAAAATTTTAACTTGAATTAAACATACCATTTTCATTGGCGGATCCAGGGGCAGGTGTTCCGGGGGTTGGAACCCCCCCCCCCCCCCCCCCCCTATATTTCGATTTTTTCGTTTTTGTTTGTTTGTTTGTTTGTTTTGTTTTTTTTATAAATTATGTGAACGTTTCATGGTTTTCCGGGGTTTGAACCCCCCCCCCCCCCCCCTCCCCCCTGGATCCATGCCTTATTTTTTTTTATATTTAATAATACCAATGCTGATACTTTATCACCCGCAGTTTTTTTGTGGTACTTTTGTGATTATAACAGGCAATAAAATATCACTTTTTTTCATATTTAAGAAAAACAAGTGCACAATGGAAACGTAATTCTCGACAAATTAAATATAATAATACAAGGAAAATATACCAACTATAAATAACCGATTGGAAACCCCATTCTCTCCCTTGGAAAATTTTCTATTTTAGTGCTAACAAGGAAGTTAATTAATGAGAAGGTCATGTAATGGATACAACAGTTTTATTTTTACGTTTGAAGAGAATGACACACAATTGACCATGAACTAAATTGTGTATCTGCAGGTTAGCTGTGAGAAGAGGTAATCATTTTTTTATTTATTCATTTAAAATCGGATTCGGGCAATCGTCCAATAATTTTTGAGGGTGGGGTTAACAACCGTTTGTTTTTGTCTCAGGTATTTGTAAATATTTGTGGTGCTGAAGTTGTGTTAGGGGAGGAGGAGTAACAGGAAACGTACTCCTAGATTTTATGAGATTGTACGGTATATTTGTTTGAGTCCGATGTTCCATATTCTGACATGTGTACATAATACTTAGTAGTTTTTGTTGTTGCATTTTGAAGGACAATTTCACCATTTTCCTGAATATCTTGAGTGTTCATATATTATTATATAATATTGAGTTGTATAATAGACATTCACATGCGTATTATTGAAAAAAAAAAGAATTGTGACAGATTATCAGTCAACGTTTGCACACTTTTTGGTACTAGATAACAGCACCCTACAGTGGCGGATTTACCGGGGGGCATAGAGGGCACGTGCCCCCCCCCCCCCCAGTCCAGGTCACCAAAAAAAATTCTAAAATAATTTCATTGCTACTGAATCTGCTTATCTAGAGCGGAAATTAATCACAGCTTGATTTGACTTCTTCGCTGGCCGTTAATTAACCCCAGCTTCAACATGGCGTTACATGCGTGATTTATGACAACTTATCGGAGGTTGTGTAAATATTGACACCTGTGTGTAATGTCTCTTTTTAAAAGATTTGATGTAAACTATATACATGTACATGTTGATTGGAAAAGTACGAATATTTTTATTGGTTTTAAATACAATATCATAGATTAAGATCGATTAACAGGTGAAATCTTCTGATCGGGAAAGAAATTACTAACCAAAATCTGTGTTTTAAACAAATATGTACAAATATATGTTTAGTGCCAAGAATATTAGTATCGATATATGGGATATGTCTTCATAACAAAATTCTCACATTACCATTTTTGTAATTTTTTCTTTTTCCAAACTGTCATCTGGTGTGACTTTATTCAACAACAAACTTTTTTTTCAAACAAGACTTTTTTTAAACTATTTGAAATGTCGTATTTTCTTTTCACTCCTATTTTCAAAGGAAACCAATAATTTGTTTTAAAAAAAATGCCCCCCCCTTTCCACAAAAAAGAATTTTGTTGTCACTGTCTAATATATAATCATTAATAAAACGCAATTGTATGTTAAAAACATAATCTGGAACTAATACGTATATTTTTATTTTTCCTGTTTCAATTACCATGTACATACATGTATGAGTCTAGGAATGGGTCACCATTTATGAGGATATGAATGGGATCAGAGACATATAATATATGTCTCTGATGGGTTTATAGAAAAGAGAATAATGGGACCAATAAATATGAATAAATATAAATAACAGAATAAAGAGGTGATTGTTTGTTGCTAAACGTGCAGTGGCAAATATTACATGCATGCTTAGGACAATTACAATACAGATCAATTGGCAGAAAAATAAAGAATAGAGTGAAATGGTAAAAAAATCATGAAAAGATATAGAACTATAGAAACGATGATTTGACCCCCTCCCACACACACACCACCACCACCACCACCACCCTTACCACCCACACTCGCATATATACATCTCTAATTAAATATTTAATTTTGGTCTCATGGTGCCCCCCCTCCCAAGACATCAAGGTTCTGGATCCGCCCCTGCCCTAGTGATCTCATATACTTTAAGTAAGTTTACGGGCGCCAATAGTGGAGCAGCAACTGATTACCCTTCCCAGAGTTCATGACATCACTTCCGGTCTTTGATGGTTTTCGTGAATTTTGTTTTTTAAGTGTTTTCCGTAATGTATTTTGTAGACTCATTTTTTTTTGTCGTTTTAGTTTTTAAGTTTTAAATTAAGGTGATATTAATGAAATATACTGGGTACCAATTTTATTGCACAATATCTGTTATTTAACGTAGGGCAAACACTAATCAACCAATCAATTTAATGAAATTTTTTAATATGATTCAAACAGTTTATTTTAACTGAGTTAATTATTCTTGTAGTTATTAATAAAAAAAATGGCGACAAGGAGAGCATCAGAAAGCAGAGGAAGTCGGTTAGTTGTTGCTGCTATAGACTTGGGAACAACTTTCTCAGGATATGCCTTTTCCTTCAGATCTGATTTTGAGTCCAACCCACTTAAAATTAGCACAAATGATTGGTCAGCAGAGGGAGTTCACAGTTCAGAGATGAAAGCGCCATCTATATTGCTTCTCAATCCTGACCAATCATTTAACTGCTTTGGATACCGAGCACAACATACTTACTCAGACTTGTTGGACGATGACCCAGAAAAAGCGGCCAAATATTATTTTGTCAAAAACTTCAAAATGCAGTTGCATAATAGGGTATGTAATTATTTAATTTGATATGAGGATGTGTATGAGTGTCTTCTTCATTTCTGTATTCTTTAATCGAATTGGCCATTTTTCTCTATTACATTTTTGTCTTCTTCCTTTCTGTATTCTTTAATCGAATTGGCCATTTTTCTCTATTACATTTCTGGACCTTTTATTCATTATACCTAATACTGATGCTCCCCTCTATTCGTTAAATATTTTCGCTTTTTTCTATTTTTCTATTTGTTTGCACTATTAAATTTTTTTTGCCTTTGAAGAGGAGATACCAATTAGCCAGTCAAAATCATAAATCGAAACAAACTAACACTACTATGGCAACCCCTTCCAAAAAAACCCCACAAAAGTACAAAAAAAAAAAACCATTAAGCAGAAAACTTAAAATCATGTATCCGCATCTGTATTTTAAAAGTAGCACAAACATATTCTTGTTTCTACAGAGTACACAAATATGAGCAACTGTGACAGCAGCCAGTTTACCAATGTTCAAATGTCATAAATCGAATTAAAAGACGAATGAAGGTAAGGGAGCTACCATTTGATTTTTATAGGGGGCTAGGATGAAAAATTTTGTCCTGCCTTTTTTTTTAGTTTATCCTGACTTTTTTTTTACATAAATTGTCATCCTGCCTTTTTTTTTACTCAAAACTCCTGTCCTGCCCTGTTTTCAAATTTCATCCTAGCCCCCCCCCCCCCTAAAAATCAAATGGTAGCTCCCTAACAAACAAAAACGTGGGGAATCGCATTAACACCAAAAAGAAGAGAGACTGGATGTGTCGACAGGGTAAGCGTCTCCTGTTATGATGTGTCGACAGGGTAAGCGTCTCCTGTTATGCAGTGTCGACAGGGTAAGCGTCTCCTGTTATGATGTGTCGACAGGGTAAGCGTCTCCTGTTATGCAGTGTCGACAGGGTAAGCGTCTTCTGTTATGCAGTGTCGACAGGGTAAGCGTCTTCTGTTATGCATGCGTCATCCGCCATGCGAACCCACAATGATTAAAATATCACATAAAAAAGCATTGTTCACTTTATCGAATATTCACAAAATGCAACACTTACCGAAAATTTGGGTGTAAATATTTATTCCTAATAGGTACTTGCTACTATTACGTTGAAAACGTCACTATTACTTAAAATTATCCTTACGTTTAAGACTAAATGCCGGAATGCAAGATCGGATTGGGAACCGATTAATTACGGACATAACAATGATTTTTCGTTACTATTCTATTTTCCACCTAATCGTAGCCAACACCTTCTTAATATTCAATTGAAGAAGGTATTATTCGTTTACGAGTCTATAAAATGCTATATGAGGTTAAATCGATTTATTACACAAATAAATGAAATAAATTTTTTCCAGGAAATTTCTTTGGGAATGATGATCCAAGACGTAACAGGAAAAGAATTGCCGGCTATCAACGTATTTACTGAATCAATAAGGTTTCTCAAAGATCATTTCCTTGAAATGTTCACCGACAAAAAGTTAGGCTTTACTATCAATGATGTCTTCTTTGTGATTACCGTTCCTGCCATTTGGAGCGACGCTGCAAAGCAGTTTATGAGGGTGGCCTCTGAGAAGGTAAGCTATCTTTGCTCACCGACAAACAGTTAGGTATTACTACCAATGACGTCTACTTTGTGATTACCTTTCCTGCCACTTGGAGCTATGCTGCAAAGCAGTTCATGAGGTTAGCCTTTGAGAAGGTAAGATATTTTGTTCACCGACAAAAAGTTAGGCTTTACTATCAATTATGTCTTCTTTGTGATTACCGTTCCTGCCATTTGGAGCGACGCTGCAAAGCAGTTCATGAGGGTAGCCCCTGAGAAGGTAAGAAATCTTTGTTCACTGACAAAAAGTTAGACTTTACTATCAATTATGTCTTCTTTGTGATTACCGTTCCTGCATTTGGAGCGACGCTGCAAAGCAGTTCATGAGGGTAGCCTCTATATATATATAAGAAGGTAAGAAATCTTTGTTCACTGACAAAAAGTTAGGCTTTACTATCAATTATGTCTTCTTTGTGATTACCGTTCCTGCATTTGGAGCGACGCTGCAAAGCAGTTCATGAGGGTATCCTCTCTATATATATAAGAAGGTAAGATATCTTTGTTCACCGACAAAAAGTTAGGCTTTACTATCAATGATGTCTTCTTTGTGATTACCGTTCCTTCCATTTGGAGCGATGCTGCAAAGCAGTTCATGAGGGTAGCCTCTGAGAAGGTAAAATATCTTCAGAGGATCGATATAATAGGGTAAAGTGCTGAGGAAGTGTAAGACCTAAACACTGGAAGAGCTATATGAACAAAAGGGACATAAACATAGTAAACTGAGCATTCAATTGGTGTCGAAACAATGTTAGCTCCCCTTCCCCCCACGTTCTTGCTTACCCATTGGGCATTACCGCACATAATGAGGTGGCGTCTGTTCGGATTTGCTATGTGTATAAATATTCAGCGACGTTCCTTCGGAATATAAAAGTTTAAACTTATGGTCATGAACCTTATCAAAACTACATCATCATTTTAAATAGTCGGTCACTTTTATCAATCTAACAGATACTAAAATAATTTCCATTGATGCAACGTAGAAGATATTACTTGTTTTCAGTTTTATATGATTTAGAGTTGGTACACGGTTTGTCCCAATTAAACTCTCTTTGGAAGTTTTTTGATTTTGTGTTATTTTTTTATCTTTATTGTTTTGTGTTGTTGTTGTTGTTTTTTTTTGTTTTTTTTTGGGGGGGGGGGCAGGCGCAAGTCTCAGATTTTTTTATAAATTTTTTTTTGTTCATAACAGGATGAGATTGCAAAACAATTTCAAATAATCTTTAGTTCCTTATTTGCCGTTGTTATAATTTTCAGACAATTAAACTGGCAAGACAACTCCCAAAGCAACACATTCGACCTATACAATCTGCTAAATGAACACAAAATATGCCAACATGTTAAGGTGATATACATCACTACAGGGAGATAACTCTGTAAAAGCTGAACGTTTTAGTTACGTTCTATTGATAAGGAAATATTAGGCTTTTCAATAATCAAAATTAGTGTTTGTCAAACTACTATATATCCAATGAAATTTTTGCGATAAAGTGTGTGGTTCAATTTTTTGATTTTTTTTTTATATTTTTGTCAAAAGGTCAAAGTAAATATTTTGTCAAAATTTTATGAAAATTAAACGAGCCAAATTTGTTTTAGTCAAGGTGTTTGGTACCACTTTAACATATTAAGATCTTTGATGATAATTAATTGTACTTATAATGTTTCTATCTTTATTTGCTAAGTTCTCAAAATCATTTTTCCCCTGGTGGTCCTTGAAGAAAATCTGTAGGTCCTCACAATTAGATCGTTTGCAAAATACCAAAATTGTGTGTCGGTTCTTTGCAATATTTTGGTGGACAAAACCTTCGGACCACCACTTTTCGAGAACTCTGTAAATATTTGATTCCAATTGCGAACTGTTGAACCGAGGTTATTAAATTTAGTTTTAAAACATCAAATACCTCAATGGGCAGACACTACAAAAATATAAACAATGATTGTTATTGACAGCGTGGCTAATATTACTTTATCAAGTCAAAACTTAAATTATGTATCAATGAGTCATTTCCCTTTTTTGTGATACTTAGTACTAGGTAATGTCGAAACTAGCGTTTCCTATGTTCAAGGAAGTCATTAAATCATAAAAAATATTAAAAAAAAAGATGATACTTAAACTAAATGTGTGATGTATACTTGTGTGATAGTGAAGGTAATGATTGGATTTTACACTTTTGGCACCATTTAAACTATAAATGAGAGTCTGAATGGGGTTTTCAGAATAGAGAATAATTGACAGAAAGTGCAGAATAAACTGGCTGGCGCCAAAATAATGAAGAATAGACAAAAAATAGGTCAAATTAATAAGTTTAGTGTCGGTTGTTTGTGAGGTCTTTATTGATATTGTTATCATTTTATGCATTTACTTATTCCTTAGATTCAGGGGCATAGGAACCGCCAGAGGCGGATAAAGGGGGGGGGGGGGGGGGGCAAGGGTGCCCGCCCCCCCCCCCTTTTGTGGGAAAAAATGGGTTGATTATATAGGGAATCACTGAAGCATGACTGGAACGGGCCCCCTCTTAGTAGGCAGTCAGTGCCCCCCTCCCCCTTTTTGAAAATTTCTGGATCCGCCACTGAACGGTTAGGGTTGGCAAAACTATTGTTCCTCCCACTTTTTGGTCAAGAAAAATATTGTTTTTCCCTATCATCTAAGACATAAGAAGCTATATATATAATTAAAAGTAAAATAACAAAAATACCGAACTCCAAGGAAAATTCAAATCGGAAAGTCCCTTATCAAATGGCAAAATCAACAGATCAAACACATTCAACGAATGGAAAACAACTGTCATATTCCTGACTTGGTACAGGCATTTCCTTGTGTAGAAAGAGTTGGATTAAACCTACATTTAAACCTATAGAAAGGATGGTTTATTTCCTGGAATCTAAGTTTAACCCACACCTACCAATTACACGAAAAAAGGCAGTTGTTATCGATTAGTTTTATCTGTTGATTTACTAACTGGATTCCCTTCCTGAGCTACAATTATCTGTACATAATGATCAAATAAATGAATAAACAAGAAATAAATGAATGAGTAAATGAATGATAGAGTGTAACCACCAATGTAAGAATGAAGGAAAACCAAACAAATGCAGTGCCGGAGCCAGGGGGGAGCATACGCCTCATTTGATCGTCCAAAATTAATTATACCAACGGGTTTTCACGATTACTATGATTTGTTTGGCATAAAATCGTCCAAAAATGTCCTGCCTCGATTCCCTTGGCGGTACACGGTATTGTACGTTTTATGGAATAACATCCACACCTTTCAAAAATCCTTGATCCGCCCCTGAAATGAATGAATGAATGAAGAAAAATAAGCGAACGAATAAACGAATGAATTTATTGATTAATTGTGTCTTTGTCTACCCTCAGTATAAAAATAAGATGTTCTAGGATTGCCAATGAGACAACTATCCACTAAAGTTCAAATGAAGTGGATGAACGCAATAATAGGCAACCTTACGGCCTTCAACAGTGAGAAAAAAACCAATACCGTATAGTCGGCTATAAAAGGTCCCGACATGAAAAATATGAAACAATTCAATTGAGAAAACTAACGAACTAATTTATAACAAAACAATGTACGAAAAACAGATATGACAGATATGATTCAACGACAACCACTGAACTACAGGCTACTGACTTGGGACAGGCTCATAAAGAATGTTGCAGGGTTAAACATGTTTGTGAGCGCTCAAACCTCCCCTAACCTGAGACAATGATGTAACAGTACAACAAAGGAACAAACTATAAAAATCAGGTGAAAAAGGCTTAACTCATCAGATGAATACAAATAGAAAAAACATCTAAAACCAAACACAGAGTGGACATGGACGGGTACTTATACATCCCAAAAACAAGAAGACACTAAATTCAGATCTGAGAGTACTCGCAGTTATACTGACAGATAATTCAAAGCCAATAACAACTATCGAAAGAAATCATGTATCTAAGACTAAAATATCAATCAGTACACATCCAACATCCAATGTATGTATTAGTAGTGTAAAGACGTCATTAACAGCCAGAGAAAACATGACCTTGTGCAGACAGGTTAAGAAATTCCCAAAAGATGCTTGCAAATGAATGAAAGTAAGAACTCTATCTTTTTCTACTCTCAGGCAGGTATAAAAAGTTCCCAGATGATGCTAGCATATGAACCGGAAGCTGCTGCCTTGTTTTGTAGTCTGTTACCCGATGACCAAGGAATTGCTAAATATTTCCAGGAAAAACGAAGACTTATGATAGTAGATCTGGGTGGTAAGTAGTATAAGGGGGCGGAACGTCGGGATGGGCTTTAATTTTTGCGGGAATTCGGTATTGGGTCTAAATTTGCGCGGAAATTTGGGATTTACATCTATCATAGACTGGTACCCGACCATTATTGACAATCTTGACAACATTTGTATATTCCGAAGGCACACTGAATATTTTACGGAGGAAACCAACCTACATCTATCAAGACTCGAGAATTAATGATTATTTTTTTTGCGGAATCCGAAAAAAGTACTTTTTTTCTCAGGAATTCGTGATGACAACCCGTCCTACGACCCCTCTAGTATCGTTGTTATCTAGTTTTTATGTAGATTCGGTAATTATTTTTAATTTCTATATAGAATAACTTGTGTTTAGAATTCGATCAACCTTTGACCCTTTCCAGTCAATCCTGAGCTTAACATTTGGAAAATTGTGCGACATTTGTCTGTCACTTGGTTGGTCAATAAATGGGGAATAATGACAATAAAAGAGAACTCATCCATGGAAAAAGAATTGTAAACTTGCCTATATTTCAAGATTTACTGACAGTGTTCCCAATGATACAAAAAGCGAGAAGATGGAAGTACAATAAAAAAACCAACAGTTGTCGATGAATGACAATCAGTCACAATAGCAATCGTGAAAAGACAGACATGGCGCGGAAAAATGGGGTTCCAACCCCCGTAACACCATTAAACGTTCACATAAAAAAAAATAGTTTCAACCCAGGAAAACCCCCTGTATAGAAGGAAGTCCCTGCTCCTCTAGGTGCATCTGGCTTGTCTGCCTCAAGCCATATCAAATACTTTTAGTATATCCAACGAAAGCTTTACTCGTCAACTTTGAAGATGTTTATATGTTAAACGTTTGAAGAAGTAATGTGGAAGATAAAACTTTAAAATTAAAAGTTCATAGCACCGATCATAGTTATCGTATTGAAACATGTTCCGCGTGAAAGAAAAACAACGTTCAATGGCAAAGCATATATTCAGGACGATAACATGTTTACGAGTTTACACTATGTTTAAAACTTTTATACTCTGCAACTTCGTATTTGAGTTGGCTCTCCATCTGATTTGAATCAAGCGCACTGATGAGTCTGGTATCTTTGAGGAGTTTTTACTCAAACGGCACGCTTATATGAAAATGAAGAGGTGTGGTATGTTTGCCATTTAAAAAACTATCCATTAAAGACCACAGACTAAAACAGCTACCCACGGATAGTTGCATTCTAATGTTTTGTCGAAATATTTAGCAAATTATAGTATCTTTAATTAATATACAAAATGTTATAGGTTCCGAACTATTTCAGTCATCGGCCAAATGTAGAACCAGATTAAAACTAACTATAGTTGATCATAGTTCGGTAGAAGATTTTGTCTATTAATAAGATAAATGCACAGTGACACGTACGGTTCTGTAATTAGTACTTTGTCAGAAGCGAATACAGGATTTTTGAAAGCGAAAGAGGGCGCGTAATTCATAATGATATAAACTGCTGAGCGGAGCGATGCGAAATTTTTTTAAACGATTTTATGCCGAAAAAGAATTCCGACCAAAGGAGGGTGTAATCACTCTACGTCACACCTCTTGAATCCGCCACTGTTAGTATGAACTTTCTGTGTTTGTAGTACCATTTTATGAATAGCACTATTATCATTTCAGGTGGTACGGCTGATATAACGGTTGTCAAAGTAATAAAACGTGAAGAGAAACTTACCTATATAGAGCACGTGTACAGAGTTACAGGAGGGGCTTGGGGAGGTAACCAAGTCAATAAGAATTTTGAAAAATTCTTAGAATCTGTATTCGGAAATGACGTCATGGATGAGTTTAAAAGAGATTATCTTTCCCAATATTTGGAGATGATGAGAGACTTTGAAGTGCAGAAGAAAACACTTTCAACTTCAGGTACGAAAACCGGTGTCGGAATCAGATTTGGGGGCGACCTTCGTCATATTTTTAAAAGTAAGCGAGGAAAAGACATAAAAGATGAATTACAAGACAAATATAAAGGTTTAGTAAGAATAACAGGTGACAAATTGCGATTTGACCTAGCAATATTCAAAAGATTTTTCCAAGACTGTGTAAATAAAATTGTCAATCATATTAATGAAAGCTTTTTGAAAAGAGGATGTGCATGGCCGTCTGCTATGATATTAGTTGGTGGATTTTCCGATGCTCCTGTTATCCGGGAAGCAATTGTTGACGCCTTTCCCGTTATAAGAGATGTTGTGTCGCCCGTGGCGACATCATTGGCAGTTTTAAAAGGATCAGTTATATTTGGTCACGAACCAGCCATAGTTACTGGCCGAGTCTGTCGTGAAACGTTAGGCCTCACACTCCGTCGTCCATATGTACCAGAAGGTCAAACGGAAAAGAAAACGTTTAAAATTGATGGACAATTGCGAGCAGATAAAAGTTTTCAAAAAATGTTTTCAATAAATGAAATCATTAAACTTGGACAAACACGTACAGTGGCAATACAAGATCTTCATACAAACAAAGAGCTACGAAAACATCCGAAGATTATCGAAGTTTATGCTTCACAAGACGAAGATCCTAAATATATCACGGACGCTGGTTGTTCCCTCAGAGGAAAAATCACTGTTAATCCGCCAAACGGTAAATGGCCGGAAAATGCGGAAGGTTTTATTGATATGGAAACTGGAGGAACGGAAATTATCGTACGGTACAGAGACAAACATTCTGGTCAGATTACTGAAGAAACGATAGATTTTATGTGATATTTTTTATCTGAATATAGTTTTCTCTTCAAATGTTATTATATATACAAAAATTAAAAATTACTGTAACTGAAAATTGAATTTAAAATCCTTTTTATGGTCAGAAATGATTAAAGCCATATCGTTTGTGCATGCTTATATTTTTAATCATTTTGGATATAGAGTACACCCTAATCAGATTGGTAATTCAATGGAGACTATCTCTATCCCTCAGATTTGTTCCATTACTGCTTGCTATATGAATCACGGTGTATGGATAAACTTCCCAATTGCATATCTGCATACGTGTTTGTGTTCCTAATCTTGATGTTAAAAACGTTGATGCATGAATTATATATCTAAGTACAGCAGCCAATATTAGACTGTAAAAGGACAGGATTTTATACTAACCAATAGTCCAATTTGAACATGTTTATCACTAATTGTTTCCCCTTGCCAATTAAAGGCTGGATCAATTAATTAAAAAGATTTGAAAAACTTAAAGGTCACACAAATAAATTAGATATGCTCTTTCCGGTAGCTCTTTGTTGTCAGTGTAATTTTATGTCCCTCGAAATGGAAACAACATTTCAGATTCAATTATGGAATTGGCAAACAGTTAGGTTTCAATTGTTCTTTGGTGTGGTATTTTCTTTTATTATTCTCCAAAAAAGGGAGTGCTAAAAAAAACCAGTTAAACCTATCAACATGTGTTTATGTCTGTCTCATCATTGATTTTATAGTTTTATAATTCAATTCAATTCAATGTTTTATTAAAGTCTCATCTCTCAAACAAGTACAATCAATATTTATACATTATAAAACATGATATATGATACTCTGAATGTGTGTATGCCCAGCCTTTGATAGTGAGAGGCGGACATTATTTTTCCAGTGTCTACATTCGTCCGTTCGTCCGTCCGTTTTGCACGGTTAGCTTCGGATACAAGTTTTAGTTCATGGCAGTTAACCGTAAATTGTGGTGACAAAATCTTGAAAATAAGTACACATGCTCATTATAATAGGATCTTTAAGAAATATATGCCAATATATTGTCCTTTGCAGAAATCGTAGTTAGACACCAGTCTTACAACATTTTTTTTATAGAGTCTTAGTGCTTATCATACTTTTTTTTTACAATTGAAGACATTCTACTGAAGTCGTCTTTTATATTTTTAATACGTTTGATTTCTGTATCATTGATGTTTTCCTCACATTTGTTGGCAGGCGATGGATTAAACTAAAATTTGTCAGCGTGATGGATGAGTTTATTTGACAACTGATATCAATCAAAGACAACCGAGCCTCCTCATGGGGTTTTTGATAATGTGATTACTTGGTCGTTTTTATAGTGATTATTTGATTACCAGACCAAACATTTCATGATTATTTGATTACTTGATAATCTAGGATTGCATTTTTGACTATTTGATTTATCTTGTTTAAAAAAATAATTAATGATTATGTGATTATTTTGGCAAACATTTTTTGATTATGTGATTACTTGGACACCCCCATGAGGGGCCTCACAACCGCTTTGTTGATCTAGTGATACCTTCTTGCATCGAGTGCGTTCGATTCGTCGGCTCAACCACTGCCGTGTCAAACCTAAGACTTGGAAATTTACATTCGCTTCTTCTCCGCTAAACACACCTAATTTAAGCAGCGAGGAGTAAGAGCAAAGAATGGTCTTCTCAGAGTCGAAATAATGTCGGGGGGCCTCGGTTGCCGAGTGGTCTAGGTAGTCGAACTACTGTATCACTAGCCAGTCAACACTGAGGTTGTGAGTTCGATTCCAGCACGTGGTAGGTGCGCTCGACTCCAATTCTTATTGAATAGGGTTGTCACTTTTCCTACCGAAGGACTGTGATTCTCTCTGGGCACTCCGGCGTTCTCCCCCAATAAAAACTGATTGCAGCGAAATAGCACAATAGTGTTGAAAGTGGCGTTAAACACCAATCAATCGATCAACATACTGTCTACATGTGTACTGATAATATGAGTACTAGCACGTTAAAATCCGACTCAGTGTAACGGTCAAGTACAAACAAACAGAGTTCATACTCATATCGTATTGACATGTTCTGGTCCTAATATGCATGTATTGTTTGCCCCTGAACGTTTAACGTAAATCCATTCCCATTCTCAACTGAAGGTCCATATATATTTATAGGTTGACCCAAAAAGAATTCGTTCAAATATAACTTTGAAATAGGTTGACCTGTCAAGAAGTTCCAATTTACTGTATACATTTACAAGTACTATATACATCTGTCTTCACATGTCTTTATCTCATTCCAAAGTGTACATGTAACTGTTACAATATTAATCTTAATAAATGAGTAACTCTATTGTTTTCTATGATAGGATCACTTAACACGTTATTCTGAATTAATGAATCGTTTATCGACATGAAACTTTAAATGGAAGTTTGAATTTAAAAATGGTTTCAACAAAAGGTAAATTTGAAATTTATATAAAATATTACGATGCACATTATCATTTTAATGAAAAGTTAACTCATTCATCTGACAAAATTTGAATGATAGACTGTAATTCTTAACAATTAAACAGTCAACAGTAAAAATGACTTAAATGTTTGAAATAACTTGAACTGCTTTCCTGGAGTGCATCTGCATTTTGTTCACTTTTTGTATACCCGCTCTGTGGTTCTTTCTTTGTAACTCGTAACCGGGTCTTCACCCGCAGGAGCCGTACAGTTGTGTAAATAGACTACGAGTCGTTTACTCCTCTGGATTATCTGGTTACTAACTATGGACGTCTTAACGTCAAGTTTACTTTATTTAAGTTTATTTTATTCAAATATATTTTATGCTTTGTGATTAAAAATAAATGTCAAGGAGTATTATTGTTTGGAACTTTTGTTGTTGTTGAAAATAAGAAGATGTGATATAATTGCCAATAAAACAACTCTCCACCAGAGACCAAATGAGACAAAATTTATTAACTATAGATAACCATACGGTCTTCAACAATGAGAAACCCCATACCGCATAGTCATCTATAAAAGGCACTGAAATATCAGATGTAAAACAATTCCAACGAGAAAACGAACGACCTGATTTATGTACAAAACAGTGAATGAAAAACAAGTATGATATTCAGAAATAAACTACATGCACAACCACCGAATTACAGGCTAGTGAATTGGCACAGGCACATACAGAAGGTGGCGGGGTTAAACTAGTTTGTAGGCGCTAAACCCTCCGCCTAACCTGGGATAGTGGTGTAACAGTACAACATAAAAAAAAATATAAAAATCAGTTGAAAAGGGCTCAACTCATCAGATCGATACAATGTCCACATTTTTAAGTCAACACATATGGTAGTTGCGCATCGAGAAGAAACTTAAAAAAGCTAGGTCCAATTCGGAATCCGGATTCTACGACAATCACATTTTTATTAACAAAAGTACTGGTATAGTTGATACAAAACAGGATGCAATGTTTAAAAAGACAAATATGTGACATCACATAAATTCATCAAAATTTAATTTAGTAGTATGTTTATGTATAATTTTAGAAATTAAGTTTGAAGAACACGGTAAAAATTTGACAGTCGTTGACAATGGCTTAGCAGTGACGTGGGCGCCAGTTTATGCGGGTGGTGTGGCATTTACAAACTTGCCTGTCAACCAGGGCGATAAAATCACTGTCCAATTGTTTGGAAGTGGTGAGATACGGTTTGGCGTAATTCAGATCGACCCGATTTTCTTGGGTAACCTAAGAAAACATGTGCATGGAGCTGATCTTATTTCACAAATAAGTAGTATTACACTCTCAAACGTTTCACCGATATTTGTTACGATCATGCGAGGTAAAAGACAAGATGGCGATACACTGACTTTACGCTCAGTTACTACAGGCAAGCGCTTTGCAAACGTGAAAAGAAATAGAGGCGCTTGGATTGTCTTTGAAATAGTTTATGGCACAGTTTCTGTTGAAATAGGTAAGAAATATTATAATTCATAATATTTTTTGACACCTCGGTGTGTCGTCTGTATCTATCAGGAAGAATTGGTATGATTTTCAAAGAGACGATCATCACCAGAGACTAATGACGCAAATGATGTCAGCTGTTACAGGTACGGCCTTCAACAATGAAGAAAACCAACACTAGATTTCTACTCAAAGTAATCAATATTTCGGCATTTGCAATTATTTATCAGGTTTGTTTAAAAATCTTCCAGCTGAATTTTGCACTGCATAAGATCGCATTTCCAACAAGATTTTTTGGGAAAAATTGATTGATTGATTGCCGTTTGCTTAACATTGCACATTATTCATGGCATGTTTAGGTTGGACAGAATCTGGAATACTATTTACATTTGCTTTAACAATAAAACTTTGGTGAATATATAAACAGTTTAATTCAATTCTATCTTTTCCAGTGAATATTGGTGGTTTTAAAGATTATAAAATTCATGAGAACATGGATGTTAACGTCATATCAACAAACGGAAGTGACGCCATTACTAGTGATTTGGTTAAAATGCTGTTTTTCTCTCCTACAAAAATTAGCTTGATCCATCAAAACCCATGGACATCATGTACTTTGAACCGACCGATTCATCGAGGAGAAATTATAACATTCAATTGTCAACCTATTGCCAGAGGGCGTAGAAAACCAAATTTATTTTACTTGAAAATATTAATATCGGAATCGAAACCGGATTTAACTGCAATTGAAATCACGGAATATTCAGGTGTTTATCTCACAAAAAAATGGGAAAATGATGATTGTCAAGGATATATACAGCTGTCAATATCTTACAGTGGAAATTTGATATTAATAAACAGTAAAGGTGATTGCTGCACGGCAGATATTAGGACAAAGAATGTTTGTGTGGTTTTTACATTATTCAAAGTCAAAGTTCGATTTCTTACCTGAAAATCGCTGTCAGGAAACCATGTTTATAGATTCGTAAATCAAATATATTTCCAAATGGTACAATACATGGTTATAATACGTATACACTAGTTTAAACTGAAATCGTTTGAATATAAAACGCCTTTTTAAAACCCATCAAAATCGAAATTGAAATTCTTTAACAAGAATATGTCTTGCGTCAACAATTTACAAAACCCTTTACTTTAAATTGAAAATGAATAACACATGTACACATTTTTAAAGTTGAAACTATTAACTGGAATCATCTTAATGTCAAGTTGAAATCTTAAGAAATTTGCAAGAAAATCATAGTATTATAATGAAATACGTGAACTTCGGGATACTTGAGCCAGAAATATTGATGATCGTAAAGACAATTTTTTTCATAATCTGCAGGTTAGCAACATCGGACTGTGCCATGTTTTAGATCGATGAACAACTTAGCCACCGTTTTTGACGTTCTAGTGGTGAATAAGGTAACGGTATTCGACTTGTTATTGCTCATTCTGGTTAATATGTTTAAATTTTTAAACGCGAAACATTAAATACTATTTCTAAGTCTGACTCATCGATATGATCCAACTGTGGATCCGACGTAAATTCTCATACTTAAAACTCTACAAATAAACCTATTCTGTAAATAGTGCTTGTGTAATCTTATATTAAGTTCATTACAAGTTTTGGAGCAGGTTTCTGCTTACCCTTCCGGAGTAACTGAGATCCACCCCGGATTTGGTGGGGTTCGTGTTGCTCAGACTTTGGTTTTCTCTGATGTGTTTTGTATACTGTTGTTTGTCTGTTTGTCTTTTTGGTTTTTAACCATGGCGTTTTCAGTTTATTTTTCGACTAATATATGAGTTTGAATGTCCCTTTCATATCATTCGCCTCTCTATCGAACCAATAGTAAAATGAATTTAAGAAGTAATTGCAACAGCTGACGCTGCGGCTGGGGTATAAAAGAACTGGTCAATATTATTAGGTTAAAGACATCTTGAAAGCGGAGGAGATACGTCTACATGTACGATTATTTCACAACATTTATTTAAAGATCTTGCTGAGAAAAATTTCAAATATATTTACAAGAGAAAACAGAAATAGATTTTCCCAGATCATTTGATATGTACAATTTCGAATAGTTTTTATTAAACGCAATGCATCGCGGGAAGTTAAGTTCGTCACTCTCTGTCAACATTTCTTTATGAAACGTTCCTTTTGGTAGCAGGCGATGAAGGTTATGCGACTTCATTCCGAGCAGATATATATTATCCTGCACATCAGTCGCCATGTTAACTGGCCATCGAAAATTCTCGGAATTATACGTAAACATGACTTTTCCATCTAGGAGTCTGATACATCGGAACATCCCATCTTCACCCTCACAGCAGTAGATTGTCCCATTGATACCAGAAGAGAGGCTGTGTATTATTCCCTTTCCAAATTCCAGTTGTTTGACACGAATCCCGTCCTTGTTAACAATGACAACCTCGCCCCATCGCCCCAATGCAATATTATCTTCTACCAAAGTTATTCCATAACACTTAGGAACTTTAATTGGTGGATCGACATTTGAGGAATCTGCATCTACATGCTGAATACAACTGCTTTCCGGGATTGTAACCCATGCTTCGTCCGAATCCGGTACGACGGTTATATCCCATGGCTTCCCTGCAAGTGGTAGTTCGCAGAGATACTTAATTTTACTTGAATAAATCATCAACTTGGCACTATGCTTGTTACAGAGAATTAAACTGTCATTTCGTGTTACTCCAATTCCAGTTACTTCAATGTCGTCATTGTTGTCACTTACCATAAATGTTTTATCCAACTTAAATCTCGTAGGCATGTAGTTTTGACGGCGCTTTCTAACAGTGTCGGTGGCAAAACCACTTTCATTAGTATAACAACCATCTTCATTTATAGTATCAACAGTTATTGTTCCAAGGGAGTTAATTACAGACAGCAAATTTGACTTTTGAAAGGAGACTTCCGTTTGTTCACGTGATTTCAAAGCTACTTTGAGATCCTCTAGACTTTTCGCAATACTTTTCGAATTAGAATTTAGAACTACAAATAGATCGCTTTCTGTTCCATTCTTTTCAAGAAATTCATACTGATTGCACATTTCGTTAACGTGCTCTGTTTGTTGATCAATTATATTTACCTCATTCTCGGCTTTCGATATTATAGATGAAAACACGGAGTCTACTTCCGCTATCAGTTCTGTTTCGATATTATCAATGTGTTTGAGAACGTTTGATTTGTATTTTCGAATCCGTTTCTTGATTTTAGCCTTGTTGTCACAAAGATCTTCTTTATTTTGGTGCGTTTTCTCCTTTAGCTGGCTTACCGTTTTCCTCATGATGCCAATTGACTTTACAAAATCATTAAACTCTGCTGATTTTTTCACGCCTTTTGAAGCAATATCGATCGGCTTTACTTTGCTACAACTGTTATGTCCGACTCCTATGCATGACTTGCAGCAAAGGCACGCATGCGAGTTACAGTAATATTCCACTTTGGAACCCGGATGTTCTGTACATAATTTACTTCTCAAAGACGCATGTACCCAAGTATCACCAAGGACAGTGACGTGGTGAGTGAGAAGAGGTTTGAACGTATCATGGGCTTGGAAGCAATCCGAACACAACGTTTCTGCACAGTCATGACAGTGTTTTACAGCAACGGATGACCTTCCACTTCTCGAACATGGCTTGCAGAACTTTTCGGACTGAGTCATTACTATCTGAAATATATACATTACCATTCCATTATCGTTTAAACTAATTAAAATATATATATATAGATTCTTACATTGATACTAGTGGATTATCGGATTTATCCAATCGAGATAGTTAAATTATCAATTTTAAAGTCCGAGCCTCGGCGAGGACTTTAAAATTTATAATTTAACTATCGAGATTGGATAAATCCGATAATCCACGAGTAACTATGTAAGAATCTGTTTCTCTAATGATTAAAAAATAAATTTCCTTTTTTGCTAAACTAAAATCCCCTTCGAGTGCCTTCCACTTTCCATAAAGTTGTCAATTTCATTAACACCTGTTAGCATATTTTGATACATCCAGTGAGCTGAGAAAGGTTATGACCCTTAAACTCATCCAATCATCTTCTGAGATCACTGGCAACCACACGTTGATTAAATATTTTTATACAATGGGTTCGGAAAGGGATAAATTTCCATAGAATTAGAGAAATATATATATATATTTAATTCATAATTACTCTAAATATCAGCACAACAATGTTAAATCTGCAAATTTGCGGAAGCAAATTTTTGTTTGTTCTTCCCTCGACGGGATTTAAACTCACGCTATTGGGATATCGTGACAACACCGCCTGCACTGTGTCCAGCGCTCTAGACTATTCGGCTACCTAAACTGAACTAAAATTCAGCTTTCGGTGGCCTAGTGTTACCTTTCCTCGTCAGTAGAATCTAGAGTTGTAACACAGTACATGATATATTAGGCATGAAGATGGAATTGATTGCAGATTAGCTAAATTATCTGTCGTAAAGGATCGTAAGATGCAGTCACAGAAATAATTATTTGATAAGTACGTCTAAACAAGTGACAACTCTACGATTGACCCATCCATTGGATTACCAGTGAAGGTGCAAATTTGCAGATTCAACATTGTTGTGCTGATATTTAGAGTAATAATAAAATTTTATCAAGAGAAAAAAAAAAGGGCACTGGACATAGTGCAAGATGTGTTGTCACGATATCACCATTAGCATGAGTTCGAATCCCGGCGAGGGAAGAACAAAGATTTGCTTCCGCAAATTTGCAGATTTAAACATTGTTGTGCTGATATTTAGAGTAATTATGAATATAATATGTGTTTTCAGCCGTGTATCACCTTCACTGGTGATCAAATGGATGGATCTGTCGTAGAGTAGTTGTCACTTGTTTAGACGTACCTATATGTAATTATATATTTTAACGATATTTCACAAGAACAAAATAATTTTGATTGGTAAACAACAATCAAGCGGTATTTCAAAGTCATGTTTTATGTCACAGTAAAACGCAACGTCCATAAATATTAACACGTAAATTAAAATAAAAATTACTTCTTTTGTTCTGTAGTTTTAGTTGGATTGAAAGGTACATGTAGACAGTGCGCACATTTTTCGTATGAAATATTGTTCTGTATTATAAGCAATCAATCAATCAATCAATCAATCAATCGATCGATCATACAATTAATCAATCAATCAATCAAATTATTAAAAAAAAACCAAAGAGATACGTAAGATGTGACTTAACATTTGTTCACTGGCTGCAAGCAAAAAATTGGAATAGTACTGCAAGCAAAATATCGGAATAGTACAGCAAGGAAAATATTTAATTCAAATAACGTAATATTTATATCAATATAAAAATAAAGAGATGTGGTATGATTGCCAATGAGGCAACTATCCACCCAAGTTCAGATGAAGTGGATTTAAAGCAATTATAGACAACCGTAAGGACTTCAGCAATGAGAAAAACCCATAACGTATAGTCGGATATAAAAGGCCCTTTTAAGAAAAATGTGAAACAATTCAAACGAGTAAAACTAAGGGCCTAATTTATATCAAAACAATTTATGAAAAGCCAATTATTTAAAACCATTAATTTTTACCTTTTATCGAATTTAAACCAGGTGTTTTTAATTCACAATAATTACATATAATATCCAGATGTGTAAAATGCTGAATATTCTACCTTAGCAACCTAAACAAGAGAAGAACATATTGTATGCCTCAATAACAAAACCTTCACACAAATAAGACGTTAGTAAAACAATACTAACTTTAGATGATACAATCAGATGAACAATACTAAATTTAGATGATACAATCAGATGAACAATACCATTCAGATGAGATACAATCAGTCGAACAATACCACGATGTGCTAATTATATACGGCCTATGACCCATGACATTTAACATCCAAATTGGACAATGAAACGTAAACAAAATATCTTAATATTAAAAATACTCTAATGATTTTAACTACGGTACAAAAGTAGACAAGGTTATAGAATAGTTTTACTCCGCGTTTAACGATACCATTGAAGATCAATGTAACCAGTTTGTACTCTTAGCCTGTCGTTTACATTGTTTTGGTTTTCCGATATAAGGGATGTAGTGCGTACTGAAACCAACAATATGTTTCTTTTATTTCCATGCATTTCCTTATAGTATAGATTGGGCATCTAAAGGGTTGAATGGCATAGCAATATGGTCATTTCTGAACTTTTCCTGCTCTTGCAAAAGTGGGGCGTCCGTTTGGCTGTGAGGGATGTGTACATACTGAACAACATCGAGGCGGAATCTGGACGATACATCCAAGGTCTCGTTAAGTGAGAGTGTAGCGGTTTCTTCATGTTAAAGAACCATTCCAACATCTCTTTGAGGGGTCCGAAGGTAGCCGGTTGCAAACCAAAATGTGTGCCCCTATCAAATTTACCCCATTTGTCAGTGGAATTCATAATTTCTTGTCCTTCATCCCTGCCGACCTACCCTGAAGAACATACCTATCGTATGAATT